TAGCACACTTAATAATGGCCAAAAACTCCATAGTAAACAGATGGAAGGGAAAAAGGCTCAACAGGAAGCTAAGGGCAAGAATAGCCAGGCTAAACAGGGAGATAGAAACTCACTGCCAGCATCTCAGCAGCCAAAAATGGCACCAAACATGTAGCCGGGTCATTCTTCCAAACAGCAAGAATCGGAAAAAAGAAGGAACAGGAAACTGAAGAGGTTAAAATATACACAGGAGACGGAACCCAAATACCTGTAGTGCAAAAAGTCAAAATCCTAGGAATGCACATCCAGCGCGACGGAGGAAACAAGACCATGCTAGGAACTCTTCTTAGCAGAATCACCAACACATATAGAATGATCAGAAGAATCACAAACAAACACGCAGGGATGAAAGAGGAAAATTTGTTGAAACTCGTGCAGGCATTCATCATCTCACATTTAATCAAGTTGGCTCCATTAGCTAAATGGGAAAAAAACGAACTGGAAAGACTAAACGCCAAAGTACGAGCAATATATAGATCAACACTAGGAATACCCAAAAATACGAGTAACGAAGCACTGAACCACCTGGGACTACACAACAATGTTGAGGAAATAATTCAGGCACAGAAGCAAGCTCAAAACAACAGACTAGCATGGACCAAAACCGGAAGGGATATTCTGAAAGAACTAGGACTAACAGCTAAAGATGATCCTTCAGTCTGATGCTAACTCTATCTCTGAATGGTGTAGCTTGTGGTGCATGAAATTAAATACTGCTAAATGTAAATACATGCGTGTGTCTCGTCTTAACACGTCCTGTTTAGTCCATTGATAACGTTCCTCTTGAGTACGTGCCATCCTACAAGTATCTGGGAGTGCACATAACTTCTGATTTATCCTGGTAAACTCATATTGAACATATCGCTAACAATGCTAATCGCATGCTTGGATACCTTAAAAGAAACTTTTTTCTCGCGCCTATGTCATTGAAACTCATTCTTTACAAAACCCTTGTTCGGAGTAAGCTGGAATATGCTGCGTCTATCTGGGAACCCGGTCTTGAATCTCTCATTTCTGAATTAGAATCCGTCCAGAATCGTGCGTCCCGCTTTATTCTTTCTAATTACCATCGTACCGCCAACGTAACCGTAATGAAAACCAGCTTATCCTTGCCTAATCTTTCTATCCGCAGAAAAGTGTCTCGCTTGTGTTTGTTCCACAAAATATATCATCATAATTCATCTCTCAAGCAAGACTTCTAACACAACCCCATTATCTTTCAGCACGGAACGATCATAGATTCAAGGTTGGCATTCCATCCTGCAGGACTAACGCATATCATCATTCTTTTATTGCCAGCACCTCTTTGTATTGGAATCACCTTCCCATGGATGTTGCCGAAATCTTGGACATTAAGAGTTTTAGAAATGCCTTAACTAACATGTATTGTTTCACAGAACTATAGTCCTTCTGCCGTTTTGCTGTTGTGTATTGTTTTTATGTTTTTTTTGTTTTTTTTTTAACCCTCTTCCCTCTGTAACGCCTTTGGCCCTGAGGGTAAAATAAATAAATGCGAGAAAGAGACGCTGCTGAAAAGTGCATACGAGAGAATCGAGATACTACCAATCCCAAAGAACATGGACCCGAATCATGACGAGGAAAGATGAAAATGTAGAGCCAGAGCTCTGCTAAAGACCTACGGTAAAAGAAAAGACATACACTTTGTAGATGCTGCTTGTTACGACAATAAAAAGCTTGGACACAAAGTAGCAGTAGCAATAGATACAGAACGCTATAAGCGCCACTAGTGTTAGAAACGCCTCGATAGAAGAAGCGGAGGAGATGGGCATCGCCATAGCAGCTAACTACAAAAACTGCAGGCACATCTGCGACTCAAAAACGGCTATCAGCAACTATATAAAAAACTATGTACACAAACGAACGACTAAAATCCTTAGGAAAACAAGCGAAAACTCAGAACAAATAACCATACATTGGTTCCCAGCACACATTGATCTAAACGAGGACGAAGACCTGCCTAACCTTAAAGGGGCGGTGCAACGATTTTATGATTAAAAGAATTTGCATCTCGTCATTTTTACGTTGTTTATCGTGTCCCAGAGGACAGAGAAAACACTTCCTTCATTAAAAATGTCGCGATTCCGCTGCATAATCGCAAAGCAAAAGTCGAGCTTTTTCCCCCACCTGCAGCCCCAAGTGGCAGCCGAAGGAACTACGGCGGAAAGATTACGTGACCTCGCTCGGCTCTAAGCTGCAGCATAGCGCCCGCTAATGTACGCAGAGAGAGGGAGGGGAAGCGTCCTCCGAGATAGCACACGGGAAGCTACACGGCACTCCGAATGACGTCACTGGGAGTGCGACCAGGTGTGACCCTGAAGGCTGGGAGTGAGTTGAGGGGTGCCCGAAATACCAATCTTTATCTTTTTTTTACGCAAAAACTAGGACACGCAGGCGAAATCGGTTTTCTGTTCTTTACTTCAGAAGTGTCAGGGGGCAACTTCCAGAAATCTTTGACCGAAGTCCGAAAATCGTTGCATCGCCCCTTTAACGTACGCGCAGACAAAACCGCGAGGAAACTAAGCTGCGGAATAAGTCGGGCGCCTACAAAGGAAGAGGTAGAAGAAAGCGAAACTCCACAAACTTTTCAAGAAATTACTAGAGGCTTCAAATTAAACAGTAGTCTACGCTCCACCACTAAAAAATCTCAATAGAAGAAAAGGTGTTTTACTCAGAATGTTACAGACTAAAACAATCCCAACACCCAAAATGATGAACATCATCAAAGAGGAAGTAGGAACTTTCAGACATATAATGTTTGAATGAATAAAATTTAGGAAAAAATATCCGCTGACCACTAAGGGGAGATGCTGGCTGCCTTGGCCCAAACTGACGAGCGAGCCCAAAAGTGGGCATCCAGTATGCGGCTGACAGCCTTGCCAAGCAAGGCCTGGACGGGAGCCAGCCACACGTGCACTGAATAAGTGCAACAACTGTTTTTCTTCCTTCCTTCATTTTTGGGCTGTACCGAACATTCAACTCTCGCTCGTGGCTGCCGTTGTGAAGTGGTTTGCGTTCTTAGAATATGTATAGCCACTCCAGCGCTCTGCTGTATTATTTCAGGATCAACCAGTGTATCTTTGTTCCGTTACTTCAATAACAGTGGAGTCAGCCGGCAGTACTACCCCCAACCACTGCGTCTATTGCGTCAGGAGAGTATGTTTTTATTTATTATTCCAGACTTCCACTCATTGTCGCTCAAGGCCAACAGCAGTAAACTTTGTATAGTAAAAAAAAAATTACAGCAACCGGATTTACCTTTCGCCGGAGGACCGGCCACTCTGACACAATTTTTCCTTTTTTTTTTTTATTTGCACCCAGGTAACAGCGCAACTGCACCTGGTTAGTCGTATAATCGAGCATAGCATTACACGATAAATTGCGTATTAAAATCCGCGCATCTGTGCTTGAAATTTCCAAAATGACGTAATTTTAAACCAAATTCAAGCGCCAGCTGGATGTCAGGTACAGCCCACTTGGCGGAGCAGACCACACACGTAATGAGAGAGGTGGGGGGGGGGGGGGGGGGGAAGGGCATCTTTTCTTTCTCTGCTATTCTTGGTGAAACGGTCTATAGAGGAGGCTATGGCACTGCCCAATGGGTAATCGGGGGTGGATCAGCTTTTTTCCGAAATGGCGAATATTGGATGAAGTGGTAAAACAGTAGTTTTAAAATTTCCGAAAATCACATACATTTTGCATCAGAGAACGATTTGCCCTGAAACCTTGGTCCGGACCGCGAGCGGTACATTTCAAGGGAGACCGAGCGTTCGGCAATGTGTAACCTATTTTAACCATAAAAAGAAAAAAAAAGTCCATTGGGAGCGTGCAACACCTAAAAGGGGCTCAGGGATTTTCCTAACGCAGTTCCGAGCACGCGCACAGCTTTAATGCACAGTAGCGCCACCTTTGGGACAGCAGTGGAACGCTTGGCGGTCCCATATATTTATTTTGCGCATCATTCTTTCTTGGCTTGAAAATTGTTTGGCAATGTTATAAACAACCATTTCACATAGGTACATTTGACCTCTCATACTCTTCGCTCTGAAATGTAGTTCCAGGGTCACCACATAGACGGCGCCGGCGTGTTCTCTTGTCGCAAGAGATTTTAAGGCATTCTGTTCTAAAAAGTCGCAAGTGTGCGAACGGGCCTTAACCTAGGTGAATGACGAACACTCGAAAAAGTCAATCTTGTGGACTAGGTGAATGACAAACACCCAAAAAACAATTTTTTTGTAAACAATAAAACCTAAAAAACTCCAAAATCCAAAGTTAAAAAATATATTAAAATGCAGAAAAAAAAAACCTTGAAATGAAGAAACCTATCAATTGCCTAGAAAAGTGAGGATGTTTGTCTGCATTCATTTTTCAAAGATCAGTGTATTTCGGCCACTTGTTTCCTGCAGATGCTAGAAATGCAATCGTTGAAAGGAATTGTTGGCAGACGAAGGACGCTTATAAAAAATGGAGTTAAAGCTTTATAACTTGTAAATACCCTTAAAACGCTTTACATTTGATGAGACAGTACATGTGAACGACACACAGAGTCTGAACAGGGGTCAAAGTGTAGAACTTTTCGTTGTTTTATACTGCTATCTTTCTGCTCCGTGTGACACTATAATAGTGTGAAAGAAATGTAGCAGGTGGATATAAATAAAAAAGTTGGTTTCACAGGTTCGATCCTGACGTGAGGCGTTCAGTCAGTGACACTAGATCATACGGCGCACATTGGACTCGAGACTGGTTCACACACTTGCGACTGTCACTGAAGGGAGGCTAAAAGCTGGTTTTGAAGCCCGCTGCGACAGCAAGAGTTTTCGACCTCTCCGGTAATAAGCAGTGAACCAGCCTTCAAGGAAATCGCCCAATTGCAATGAATGAACAGCAAAAATGTCCACCATGAGCAAAAGAAGGCAATCAAAGCTTCCAGAAAACAAGTCACGTTGAAATTTGTACAAGCCCGGTTGGTTTTATATCTAGTGATCTCTGTCGTGACACAAGTTCATGTTTCCATGGCAATGCTCTCCTCCGTGTGCTTCCCCTTGCCCTTGTCCTTGAGCTGGCGCCCACGGGCCCGTCGCTCGAGGATTTTCTTGCGGTCCTTGTCCATCTTCAGCTTTACAATGACAACCTTGGATGGGTGGATACCCACGTAGACGGACGCCCCGTTGGCCTTCTCCCGCTGGATGCGCTCGATGTACACCACATACTTCTTACGATACACCTGTACCACCTTGCCCACCTGCTGACTCTTGTGATGGCCTCTGACGACCTGCAACAGATGTCATATTTATTCCAGAACTGCCCAAATTGGCCACTTTCAAAAATTAAGATTCGAGTATAAGTCAACCACACCTTCAGGCACCAAGCGCTTTGCCTCACAGAATGCTTCAGGCTGCACGAGTGCACTTAGAAATGCATAGCATTGATAGGGCCAACATTGGGGATTTTGCGTCTGTGGCATGCAGCCTCAATGAAGTCGGTGCCACATGACATTGATGCCACTCCAAAGGCACTCTAAATGCAAAGTATACGACAGTCGTGTATGGTAACAGAAATACTTTCTTGGCTTTCGAAATTGCCACCGATCGTTCCAACTAAACTCGGGGAAATGGAAGGAGTAGTTCGGCGTTCCGCACTTCACTCGATGACCTGACAAAGCCAACCAAAGCCTAGTGCGTCCACAATCATATAAGCAGTGTTCCAAAATGCACTCAAACTTACTTCCGAGTAGAGGTTTCGGTCCTTCGCGTTTGAAAATCTACCTTCGTTTTACGCTGTCACGTGATAACCCGTCGGAGTAACCTAAACTTACTCTCCAGTAATTTGCACTGACACATGCGTGATAATTATAGCAATAAGGCGTAGAAAAAGAATTATAAAAATACAGCGGCCACTTTTTGGGAGATCTGAGGTAGCGTCCATACAATCGGGAGATGTGATCAAAATTCGGGAGGCTCCCGGACAATTCGGGAGAGTGCAATTAATTTTGGATTAGAAGCAAATGCAAAGTGAAGTGCTTTTGGCTGAATATTTTTTAATTGAATATTGAATACTTGCTGCGTCTTTCTCTACATCTTTCCCTACTGTTACACCATGCTTAAAGGGGCACTGCAATCCTACTTAAGTGTCTACATTTTATGAGGTTTCAACATCTCTTGTGGTTTGGGCAACCCAGCGGGCATGGAGAGACTAACTAAATATTGGTGCGTCACATTTTAACCGGACAACGCGGGAGTCTCCTCCACCTACGGGGGCGCCCCATGGTACCGAACACGCGTCGCAAGTGACGACATCGTGACATTGTAGGTCCTGGCCAGCTCCTGCCTTACGACTGGTCAGAACCGCTAAAAGCTTTATTTTTTTTAGTCGAAATACAAAATATAAGTGGCATGAACATATTTGATCATTTATGAAAGCAGTCTTTGTACAGTATTTCAGATCAGAAAAGAAAGAAATGCAGTTTATAAAGTACAGAAACAAGAAATGACCCGTCGACTTACCCGCCACCAAGCGGAGGAAAAGGCAGCGCATACTAAAAATGGGTAGTGGGATCAAACGCCGACGAGCAGCGAGCTTACAAAGGTCCCGGATGTATGTGGCAGCGCCGCGGTCGTGTGAGCTCGAGGATCTGACCAGTTGCAAGCGTTTTGAAGGCATTCGGCGAGAAGATTTGGGCTTGCGGTTTGGTTGTTTGGCAGTGCGAAGTGGCTCCCGTTCTGAACTGATCTTTACCTCGAGTTTGCTGTCGTTTATGGGCAATGAAGAGTCATGCCAAATTAGTGTTTAGTCGTGCAGCAAATGCAATGTGAGCCGCCCTGGCCACCCACTTCATCCAGCCTATCCAGCACATGCTTTAGTGGCGCCCTCTTGAACTGCCGACAGAGTGCGGCAGCTGTGAGCGCTCGCTGAGCTCACTACCCCTCCTCTATTCACGGCCACTCAAGCCAGGACCAAGGACGTCATGAAGGAGGTTATTTTTTGCTTGTTTTTGTAATTTTAATTTGCCTCTAACTTTTAAAATAAAGTGAAATTCAACATATGAAAAGTTTCATCAAGTTACTATGTTGACGCGCTCAGGTTTGGTGCAAATTAAAAACCAGTCAAGAAGTTGTTGCAAGGCCTCTTAAGGACAAGAATTTTCGCGTACCCTTAAATTTCAAATTTTTCAATTCGCAAAAATTAAGGGCTTGCAAACATCAAGGGTTTTACAGAATTTTTTTGAAGTTCAGTTCCAAGATGGCGGAGAAGATTTGGGTTCGGTTCAGTTCCACACTTTGGCTCGAACAGTTTCCCTTATTCCTGTATTGGTGAATGCTTTTCAATTTGAGCGGGAGCTTTGAGGAAACCAAGTGATCCTGGCGTTCATTCGGATGGTCCTGCCACAGTTAAGAACTGCAGTCTTGGTAAAGACAAAGAAATGCAGAGTGGTGCAGGGAGTGCCAGAGGGGAGTTGTCTTGGACTCTGCAAGCATCATTTTGCAGAAAAACACGACAAACGGCTCTAATAGTACCGCACACCAGGAAGAATTGCGTTTCAGCTCATATTGGCCGCGACAGTACACCGGCACGCGGTTAATGAAAACTTTGAAGTGCTACAGATTCACGAGTGCAATACAATACACACAGAAAAACGGGGATCAAGGTACAGTATGCCTCATTCTGTTCACTTGCACCAGTCTTGAGGAAAATATTACTACGCTGAATTGTTACCAGCTCGGCCAAGATTCATAACTGGGTTTAATAGACGCCATGCACAACACCACGCACCATGTATGCACTTGGAGAAAAAAAAAAGAAAAAGAGAAATACCTGAACTTCGTCATCTTTTCTGATGGGCATGCTGCGGACGCTGTATTTTTGCCGAAGATCTTTGGAGAGCGGGGAGCTCATTATTTTCCTACGAACATGCGATGGGGCATTGAAGTGCCTTTTCCTGTTCTTCCTCCGAGAAGAAGACACGAAGCGGTTGAGCTTTGCCATGTCAGCTTTTTTAAGGCCTGCAAAAGTTGGAGAATTATGGAACAGTGACAGTATTAAAGGGGCAGTTAAGTCATTTTTTAAAAACGTCATTTTTGATCTTATTGTTTAAAATGTGTTAGTTCCCGCATATACCAAGTACTTGTATCAAAACCACCTATTAATCTCGGGGCAATAGAAAAACATGTGGACTCTTTCTCGCGGACAAGATTGCGTGGACAAATGAAAGCCCTACAATACACGTAGATTCCGAATGATTTTATTGTAACTACAGGGTGATTCAAGGAGGGGCCAGGCTCTTTAAATCGACCGCAAAATTCGGTTTCTTAACCTATCGCGCTACAAGCATTGCCCACAGATGGTGCATTTTTTTTTTTTGTAAAAACTGAGGAAAGAGTAAAAGAAAGAAAAAGGCTTAGCTCCTATGGAAACGCAGCGAAGCCACCGGTCTTCAAACAACACGGCGCCGTTTCGCACGGGAGACAAGAGATGGCGCAACGAACGAGTATACGGCGCCGACAGCCGGGGACTTTAGCAGACGATCTTTTCGACTCAAAAGCGGCGCGCGTTCCGCAGGCGGCGACGGTCGCAGAAACAAAAACAGGCGCGGTAACAAGGAACTGCAGTTTCTTGTCCGCTAAAGACGCCGGCTCTCGGCGTCGTATGCTCGTTCGACGGCGGCAGTTGCCGTCGCGACCGCTTGCGCCATCTCTTGTCTCCCGGGCGAAACGGCACCGTGTTGTTTGAAGACCGGTGGCTTCACTGCGTTTCCACATTAGCTAAGACTTTTTCTTTCTTTACTTTTTTCTCGGGTAAGTTCGCTATGCAAATTTTACAAAAAAAAAAAAAAAAAAGAATGCACCATTTGCGGGCAACGCTGCACAAAACCGTAGCGCGATAGGTTAAGAAACCGAATTTTGCGGTCGATTTAAAGAGCCTGCCCTCTCCTTGAATCACCCTGTAGTTTCGAAGAGAGTCTGAAGGTATACATTCGGATAAGACTCCTCTTTTTCACCATAGGCGAAGCCATCGCTTGCAACTCGCCGACAAGCGCCCTTCGTCGACCACTTCACTCGGAAGAAAATGCGTCCCAAAAAGGGCGTGTCGCGATCTTTAAACACACTGTTAACGTGAAATAAGCTACGTACGATTGTGATTTTGGGCTTGTTGGAATGCTTTCGAGAGTGCCTAGGAGTAAGTCGTCACCACAAAAGAACGATCTTAGAATCGACTTCCGTGTCCCTTTAAGACTGAAACGCATCGCCTTGGTCGCTTGCTCCCGTCACTTTCATGCGGCTTGCATCGTCGCGGGACTGGCCGAGCGACAGCGAAGCCGGTCGCCGTCGCTCGCCAAATCACTTACATGCGGTTTCTACAGTTTACACATGACATTGTGCGTCACTTCACCGCTAAACCCGGCCTGACAGTGACTTCGGTGCCAGCAGCACCGAAGTCACTGTCACGAAATCCACCCGATTTTACTCTGATCCAAATGATTCGCCATACAAGCAAATCGATGCAACATATATACTCCGATCTGGCAGTCAACACCAACAATCCAAAAATACGCGGCGTCATTTTTTTGTTTAAAATATTGTCCGGTTTCTTTGCCTGACAGGGCTTCGATGAGACCGGTGAAGGGTCGCCACAAAAACAACTTACTCAACTTTTAGCCAAATTATAGACAAATACATAATAGAACCGACAGATCTAACCCTCAGCACCACAATATATCGACTGAAATATGGTATTTATGACAGAAATGTTGGATTATAACAGATTCGAAGAGAGACGATAAACTCCCTTACCAATGCCGGCCGACAACCGGAAAGAAAGACATCAACGCACTCTTGAACCGAAGACCACGGACCACGGCACCATGGTAGCTGTCAAAATTATTTAAAACGAAAATTAACTTTGAGTTAGTGATTAATATATAAAAGCATAAAACATATCAATGTACAGTATTTTGGTTTTTAAACTTTATTTGATTAATATTTGCGTTTTTTTGGAAACATGAAAAAGGGGTTTGAGACTAAATTGCCACTTCCGTTCTGTGGCAGCAGTTGCCTTTAATCCCAGTTATCATCTGGCGTCTGTGTAATTATATTTTTCGTGAGTACTTTAATAGCTGAAATCGATTGGCATGTTTTGAATTAGGGGTACATTTTATAGGCTCAATATTTTTAATTATGCAAAGTTCTTAATTGATATATTCTAGCAGTGCTGAGAGGTTCGTTTTCGTGTCGCCAAGTGTCATTGGACGTGTGTCTGCAGTACGCTCCGATTTCGTGTTCTGCGCGCAGTACAAGTATCTTGTGTTGTTTTTTCAGCAATACCGTTACAGAAGTGTCGGCATCACCATGGTCAAATTGTTTTACATAGCCGTTTTGTACAAACACCCTTGTAAAGGAGTGGTCCTCAAATGCGCCAGCGAAGTGTCATCGTTCAGCTTCTTCCAACGAGCAAGGTGCGTCATCGTCCTACAAACACCCTGTAGTTCCTCTCTGCTTTGTGTGAACTATGTCGTTCAACGACTGCACGCTGTCGGTTAGAATGGATGACCTTCGCTTTCTGTGAGCGCGAGACAAAGCGATGGTCTGCTTCCCTGTTGCAGTGTCTTGGAATTCCTCAAGTTCTCCAGTCAAATACTCGTAGAAAGGAGCATTGCACCAACTAGGTCCTCAGTTCGAGAGAAAGGTAAGCTTTCGGCTAAATGAGAGCACGTCGCTCATACTTCTACTTTTCTCTCTGACTTCTTTCAGAGTACATGTGTCACGTCTACGTCCGTAGCGACTCCTTGGCCGGCGTCGTGGTGTCCGATCACGAGTATCCGAGCAGAGTAGCCCACACGCTTCTCAACAAGGTATGCGACTGGTCGGGGGCAGCCGGGCACTCGTAGTTGACCACCCCCAATCTCCACTTGCAGGTGTTGGAGGATTTCGCTTCGAAAGTGCCGTCTCAGAATTGGGCCACGCTACTCGAGAGGTAACCGCCTAGACGACCGTGTGCCTCTCGAGTTAATTTTTAGGCTGTGTCTACAGTGCCGTCCGACGGCACTCCAATCGCACCTACAAGTGTGTATACAAGCGCATGTATCACTGGGGAGCGTGTTAAGCCAGCCCCCCGCCTGTGTTCACGCCGCTTCGCGGCGACAGTATGCGGCTGCTAATTACAAAACTATTGACCCATTGGGCCCTGTTGTACACACCGCTTCGCGGCGTCCAGCTGACAAACCAAGCCCCGCTGTACCCCATGCACCTCTGGAAACGAAGTCCCATACCATTTCGTTCAGCGAAATTTCGGCAACAACATTCGTTTTTGTTTCCTGTGTTATCTGTAAAAAAAAAAAAAAAAAAAAAGTGAATATTTTCAAATGCGTTGGCAAATAAAAATGTTTGAAAAAACAAAAATAAAAAAGTAAGCCCGCACTGGGGATCGAACCCGGGATCGCTTGCTTATGAGACAGACATCCTACCACTAAGCTACACTCCGCTTCAAAAAACTAATGTGGCGATGCAGGCGAGTTGGTTATGCATGTTGAAAGTAGTGAAAGCGCACAATAAAGACAAATACGAAGACGGAGAGGCAAACAGGACGAGCGCTGTTCAAAAAACTAGTTTTGGGAACTCATTTTATACGAGACTTTCGGACGGCACTTGAACATGTGTGTGGAGTACTGTCGGATGGCACTTGAACGCTCTGCAAGAGTGCCGTCGGACGGTACTCTAGACCCTGCGTAATTTTTATTCCCATTGCTTCTTTCTAGCACCTGTCAATTCCAAGGCTTGGATGTGTACCTTGCCAAATATCAGGTACAGTTCAATCAACCATTTGTTCTTCCAGTTCCCGACGATAACTTTTGGTGTTGTCCGTCATAACTGTTTTTAGTCAAGGTTTCCCCCTCAAACGCTGGCATGCTAAGGTGCGTTCACACTTGTGACTCGCAGCAGTCGCGCATTCGACCCCTGACGTTCACATTGCTGGTGATCAGCGAGTCGCTTCTCTGAAGCTCTCGGGAGCTGCCGTCGATTCCGTCCTTCCCGCTATAGGCAACGTGCAATGCTGTTTGTTTTGGCGCCATCTAGCGATTGAAGCAAGAAATGTTGGGTACCTCTGGGAGTGGCGGCTGCATTGTTCACACTTGAGCTTTTACTCTGGTGGCGCCGCTTAGCCTAGTGTCTGAAGCAAGAAATACTGGGTATCCCAGGAAGCCGTGATTGCGTAACGTGCCAGTACAGCGGAAGCTACGGCCCTGGCGGGCCAATGGGAACGTGACTGCGTATCACCGGAGCGCGCCTGTACTCCGCAGAGGTATCAGGCTTTTCGCTGCGTCATGCTCAAATATGTGTGCGTTGCGCTCGTATTTCGAAACCTTCGGCACGCAATTTGGGGCATCGAGACAGGGTATAACCGTAGGCTCTCACTTTGCCAATGCCGCTCGACTGTTGCCGGCTGGCTCTAACTTCGGTTTGCGTTTCGCTGCTTTCCCACCTTTGTTGTCCCACAGCTACACATGCATCATTGGTGCCATATGAAAAAGACTCGTTATGTTCTGGTTCCTTCAGAACCGTACAATTAAGCTCAATTGCCACGTCGGCGTGCACTTGCTCGAGCTGTCGCAGCACAGTACGTACCTGTCAAGCCAAAAGTGACTCGGATTTGCTGCCAGGCCAAGTTCTTTTTTGGCCGCTCATTGAAATCGGGGTGCTGCTTTTATAAATAAATGGGTATTGGTTAACAGCGTTGATTAGAGCCGCAGCAGAGACTTCTATGGCTCTGTATCTGTGGCCGCTACCACAAACCAAGTCGTTGGACGGACATATGGGTTGCGTCTCCCAAAGAAGTGGGGCATGCCAGACGTAAACAAACGTGAGGTGCACCACGCGTCACTTCTGAGGCGCCCCCATTGGATCAGCCACCGGGCGACTTTGCAACCGGTCCGTAAAGTCGGTCTGGAAGCGACTGCTCCAAACCAATTACTTTTTTTTCTGCGACTGTCGCGCGACTTGCATGTGTGAACGCGCCTTTGTGGGTATAGCTTGCATGCAGCGTCACCAATGTGAAACAATTAAGTAATCGGGAAGGCAGTGTATGTCATTTCGCAGAGTTGACATTTTGGGTTTGTGGATGCATGCTCTCATATTTAAGAATCTCTATATAAGCAGTGTGAAGCTGAAGCATCAACACTGTAATTTGTGTAAGTAGGTTAGCTCTTCCATGGTTCATTACATTTCTCCAGCAATAGTACAAAGAAACGGTCAAGTATATGTCGGGAACACATACAGTGCTTGCGAGCTGTTTGGGTTGAGCAGCATCAAATGTAAATATGGAGGGAGAAAAGTTGACGCCTTCTATTTCGATTGATTTTGGCTCTTCTGCTTCCGCAACATTCCGGCGGTCTCGGATTCTGAACCAGAGGTACTTTACAGAGCTTCTCCACTGGATGATGAGCTCTCATCCTCTAAAAATAAATTCTGAGCAGCGTAAAAAGTCTGAATCGGCAATGACCTTTTCCAGCATGCCCCAGCAAAGTGAAACATGGTGCAAATATAGCATTTATATTTTCCAAAGAAATAACAAATAGCAAACCGGTGTGTGCTTGGTTTCGTGTTTAGGTGGCAACTTCCAAGTGTGTAATCGCCGCCGTAGATGTATAGCGACAACCGTCAAAGGGGTAATTATTTGACAAATGGGTCTGAACAACATAAACAAGACAAGGGCAAAGGAAGGCACACATACAAGGTGTTTGAAAACTTGAGACTGTGGTTTGAAAAACAGAAAATCGTGAAGTAGAAAAAAAAAGGGACAGACAACGTCTCAAACTCAGCTAAAAACTTTATTGCTTCTACGTCTTATATACACCTCCCCCGGACGTCGAACGTCGCCACCACCACAACGGTTGATCACTGAACTACAAACAATACACCAAACTGCAACCAATACATAAAAAAAAAAAAAAGCGTTATACAAACAGAAACACAAGGTCGTCACCACCGCACCCGGAAAGACTTCGACGCGGACAATGTAACACCAGCACTTGGAAACACAAAAAGACCGTCTCTAACTTACCCCCCTTCCCCCTGAACTGAACCACGCATCACACACAGTCGCCAACAATGCCCCCGCATTACGATCCCGAACCCAACAATGCAAACAACTGCGAAGCAGCCTCCTCTCTTTTTACGTTCACCCCACTCTAGGTCTTTACAGACGAAGAAACTTTTTTGACTCACTTCCAATTTGCAGTGACGCTTGGCTAATGCAATTTCCTGATGTTTTTATGCGAACAGTTTCTCGCACACAACACGTCTCATCTCCTCACGCTCTTTGTGTATGATTTCTGTCTCTGACCAGTTTGTTGTACATGCATTACTCCTGGAGATGCCTCGCTAGTTCAGAGTTTGAAGCGTTAATCCGCACATTCCGTTTACGTTCTGTCAACCTGTCGTTAATGCATCTTGCAGTCTGACCAACATATTTAAAGCCGCATTCCAAAGGAATTTCGTACACTACTCCACTGACACATAGAACAGATCTGTCGCGATGCCTTTTTTTCATGCCTCAAAAGGAGTCAGTTTAGCTAATTTGAAATCACATGTGAAAACGGTGTTTACCCCAAATCTCTCTGCACATGCCTTCAAGTTATGCGAAATGGCGTGAAAGTTTGGAATGGCAGCCCGTCGGTTTTTGACACTTCGCTTATCTTGCTTATCTTCGATCTGTAGAGCAAGCTGCCGTTTCATGAAGGATTCTTGATAGCCGGCCCTCTCCAACCTTCCCCCTTGTCTTTTCAAAGACTGCTCCATGTAATACATGCATGACCTTTGTAGAGCGTTCTGGGTCAGAGACTTCACTACCCTTGCCTTTACAATTTTAGAATGACAACTCTGCTTCGATAGGACGGGTTTTGGTGTGGTGTATTGTTTGTAGTTCAGTGATTAACCGTTGTGGTGGTGGGGACATTCGACGTCCGGGGTAGGTGTATATAAGAAGTAGAGGCAATAAAGTTTTTAGCTGAGTTTGAGACGTTGTCTGTCCCTTTTTCTTTCTACTTCACGATTTTCCGTTTTTCAAACCACAGTTTCAGGTTTTCAATCATCATGTATAACTTACACCAGCTCACCTGCACTTTACCCATTTTTTCATACAAGGTGTGCCAGTCCAGTCCTTGTCATATGTTTGCATTCGTTTGTCCTTGCACGCAGTTCACACAGTTTAGTTCTAGTTATCAAGTGAATCGTGCAGAATTAAAGGTTTATAAACTTTTTTTTTACTTTGAAGGTGCCAACTGAGGCTGATGCAATGACCAAGATTCAAGCTGACCTAGACGAGACAAAAATCATTTTGGTAAGGTCTTGGTTCTGTCCGAGGGAAATTTTGTGAATGTGAGAGAGAGCCCCCTTGCAGCACAACACAATCGAGGCCGTGTTGGAGCGGGGTGAGAAGCTCGACGACTTGGTAGCCAAATCGGAGGACCTGAGCGCGCAGTCCAAGGCCTTCTATAAAACTGTAAGTGTCTTATGACCACAAAGAAATATGAATGGTAGAGTTACACAAAATGTGTGGCTCTGTGTCACAAAATCAAAATTGTGTTCTGGCATGCTCTCTGCGACATTGCCATACCAATTGGGCATTGCAGCTAAGGAAGGTTGAGTGCAAAGCGGCATCAATTGAACATCGTTCTGCCTGACTGGGTTAAGATTTAGCTTTGCAGAAGCATGGTGGCAGGAACGATTGTCATCTGTGCGAACGAAATTAAGAGCAACAAGCAATGTGATGAAATGGTGCGGGGTTCTTAAGGTGACCGAAAATTATTACAGGCCACTGTCAGCACATGTACAAACTGTCAAAGAAGTCTGTAGCTCGTTAAAAATTCACAGGGCCGACATTATCACAAACGGCAACTTGCATATGTGCACCATACACTTGTGCGGAGAGCCAAAAGAATGGCAAGCATTTCCCTATGTATTCTTTTTCTGGAAGTGTAACCCAGTGACAGTAGGCTCGCGATGATTCAAACTCTGTACTCCTGGTTAGTTCAAACAAATTTAAAAAAATCTGGTTGTCCCGTTACGTTTTTGTAATGCACAGTGTTCCAAAAAAAATTTACAGGGTTTTTTTTCACCGAAGAAATAAACTATGCATGGCCGAATGCTCATTCCCCACCGAAAAGTAGCGCTAGAGGTGCGAACAGATGTCCAGCACAAACCAATATTTTATTCAAAATTTGTAAGTGATTTTCTGAGAACTTACAGTGAAACCTGTTTAGAACGAACCCATGTATAGCGAATTATGGTCAATATCAAACTGGCGGAAAATTAAAAAAAAAAAAAAAAAAAATGCATGTAAAAAGTACTTTTTATCTTCCGAAAATGCAAACAATCGTCTTCTATCCTGTCCCTTCCCCCAAAAAAGAAGTAGGAAAGAAAGAAAATTCCAAAAGCTCAAGTTACAAACAAAATTGAGCGAAGAGAAGAGATTCAGAAGGAGAGAAAGCTAAAAAATACTCTGTGCGCACGCACAAAAAAAAAAAATTTTTAGCGCGAGGTTACAAGGCGGAAGTAAAGAGATGAGAAAGAGAGAGAAGCTCTCGCCTTAAGGCTCGTTCACACACTTGTGACTAAGTACGACCGAGAGAGATTAGAACGGTTTTTAAGCCTCTTGCAACATCTTAGGACCAGCTCCGCTGCAGTGCATCCGGTCCTAAGACGTTGCAAAAGGCTCAAAAACCGGTCTGGTCTCTCTCGGTCTTATTTGGTCGCATATGTGTGAACGGCGCTTTACAACGAACGCATCGTCGAAGTTCGTTGCAAATGGTTTTTGCTATATCGAACTACTTGCTATATCGAACTGATCGTAGCGTTTCCTGCTGTTCGTTATAAACGGGTTTGACTGTAAATGGGAAAATGGGGCCCATTTTCAGTTTCTGGCGCCATAGAGCACCTTGTATTGGAGGGCTCCGTTGGCTAGCATTTTCCCATTGACATTTTCAGGAAATCATTTATAACTAGGGTTCGGAGTTTTCGGTTTAAACCGATAAAAGTACTCCGAATCCATTTTCGAAAATTCGGTTTCTGACCGAAAAAGGTCAGCTTTTAGGTTCGTCATTTTCGATTTAAACCGATAAAAGTACGTCGAATCCATTTTCTAAAATTCAGTTTTAACCGGAAAAGGTCACTTTGACCTTCCAGTCGTACCGTAGAGCTGTGGCGAAAAAGTGGAACGACAGTGTCTATCGAAACATGTTTGAATGTATGAGATACACGGGTGCCATTACGACGCTCTGGTTTAATGTGCGCATCATCGATTGGAACGTGAAGCCCGAAATTCCCTATGACTTTGCCATGTACGAGCGCATTTTTAAACTCGATGTAAGGAAGACTGACTTGATGCAAGCTCTGCATGTTGTATTGTGCTTCAAAACGTCGCACACTGTCTCTTTTGGCGGTCACAATTGGTTGATTGGCCGATTTTGGCTCAGGCAGCGCTTCATCTCCTCAGCCGGCCAATGTCCAGTGTTAGCGTTGAGAGGGCATTCTCGAAGCTCAGGGTCATATTAACAGGAAGGAAAGAGTGCAGATCAAGGGGGAGAACCTGGGGAAAGTACATGTGTGTTTACTATAATAATATCACGTAATCCTCATGTACAGAAGGTGAAATTCCATGTTTTTTGGGCGTAGGTATTATATCTGACTTGTCTGCACTTCTGTTGTTTTTTTTTTCTTGTTTCTTTTACAGTTGCACACATTTGCCAAATAAAGTGTCCATTTCTTTTTCAATGTATCTATGCCGTTATTCTTTGAGTGATCACAAATATCAGAGCTACAAAGATCATCTGATCCATGTTTGTTTTATATTCACCAAAAGAAGCCGATAAACTTTTGTGGGCATAAATATACGCCGAAAAAAAACGAAAATTTAATTTTAAAATAAACACAGAAAAAAGTATGCCGAATTCTGAAAAAATAGAAACCCAAAACTCGGAAGTCTATTTATAACTTTTGAATAAAATATTGATTTGCACTAAACTTTAGCTTTTGGTTCAGACCTATAGAGCGCTACCTTCGGGTGGAGAATGAGTGTTTGGCGATGCATAGTTTAATTTTGCACTGAAGAAAACCCTGTACATTTTTTTTTTTTTTTTTTTCGGAGACACCCTGTATTCATATGCCGCTTAATTTGAACGGCCTTTTTGTGTATTTCGTTCTCGCGGCCCCATCGAGTTTGCTTCTTTTTGAGCACCGATGCACTGCCTATGGATCTCCAGTTGGCGGGTTCGAATCTCGGCCGAAGTGCCCGCTCACTGACGGAGGGTTATTGCGGAAAAGGCTTTCTTTGGTTGCACAACAAAAGATCTAAATTAATCCTCAGTCCTCCGCTGGGGCGTGCCCGATGCCGTTCGTTGGTTTGGCACGTAAACCCCCAAATTTACATTTTACCGGTGCACTGCAGAGAGGCAACACCCGCGGAGCTTGCTTCTGCGGATGTTGCTTTTCCACAGTGCACCGGTACTCGGTGAGAAGCACACACAACGGGGTTCAAGCAGGGCTCACACGAGCTATGAAAACGGGCACCACGCAGAAATTTTAATTGCAACTTGTGCGGACGCTGTGACGTTTCGGCATGGCATAGGTTCACGTCCCAGTGTCCGCTCAAGTTGTTATGAAAACTGCTGCGCGGTGCCCGTTTTTATCGCTCATGTGTCTCCTGCTTAATAGTTCACATTAGAAGGCCTGATGAACAAACCGTTTTGTTTTCAATTGTCATGTGCTGTAAGCAGTTCACAAGAAACATTTTTGAGAGATAAATAAACTTGCATCATACATTTCAATAACGTTTCATCTGTGGCATACCTGCTTATGATCAGTGGGCCTATGTAGAGGAAACCATCGAATATCTGCTTCGTACGTGTAGCCATTCATATGAAAAATCATAACCTTATCTTGCATAATATTTACATGAATTTCTGATAATTTAAACAAAATTTGTGGCTTTCTGGAGTTTGAATTAATGAGTCTACTGTACCACTGGCATCATTGTAACAAAAACAAGTGTTTGCTGCACAGATAGTCTTCCAACATGTTTGCATGCATGCATCATAAATGCCATTTCTTTTATGAGTGCTTCTTCAGTCCTATTTGAACATGGGGGTGTGACTGGGCCCAGCATGCATATGCAAGAAAAAGGCTTCACATCACACCTCCATTCTGACAGGATGCTACCAGTCATGTTCGGGAAAAGTCTGGCGTTACTCGTGTCCAGATTGATGCAAACCTTGTAGGAGTTCTCGCGATTGCAAAATCCCATCTTTTACTCCTACCTGCCTCTTCCAGGTTCAACAAGCTTGTCGAAGTGATCACCATAAAGTGCCCTTCCAATGGCGACATTGTTTCACTCGAGGGTGTTCCCTAAATACTTCAGACTTTTCTACGTACATGATTTTAAACAATGTGTGGGGTAAGATAAGCAACCATCCCGGAACCAGATGGCCAAACAAGAGAGGCCGTTCAAAAGGCCTGGCGGGCTCTCTTGGCTTGGTGGGGTGCAACGGCAGTGCAGGGCGGAGCATTGCAGTGCGATGTCGCATGCATATCATGTATATATGTGCAATGCTATTGCAGAGTTGCTGGCATCAGGGAAGAAACCTGGCATCTTTCTTAATTTTGCATACTAGGCTGTGTTTGGCATCAACAACATGGTTTAGATATGGAAGCCAAAGCGGTCCGCTTACATTTTCTGCTGGGCTTTTTGTTTACTTCGTGCCACCTAGCCAAATCTCGTACCGAGTGCAACTACAGGCAAGCAAAAGGCTGGGTGCCAGTGGTTAGCTAAGATTGCCCTCCCAGTCCCCACAAATGTTGTGTCGGAGCTTTGTCATTAATACTTGCAACCATGGTACAATGAAATTAAACTGACCTATCTCCTGCAGGCCCGCAAGACCAACCAGTGTTGCAGGATCCTTTGAAGGGGCTTCTGCAGCACAGGCTGTCCTAACTGTATATAAATGTTGTGTCTTCTTCGCACGAGACCTGCCTGCAGGCCATGTGCCTCGTGATGCAGTCGCGGCTTGGAAGTCTGTGGCGATTCTCCCTGCCGTTGCTCTTGCTTATGTGCCCCGTTTTCAAAACAGCCGTCGTTGTAAAGAAACAAATAAATCTCGTTGCAGCTTAGAACGACTTGCACTTACATTTCATTTGAAGCGACTTTATTGACATCTTTACATACACACACCCTGTACATAATGGTGGCAACACAATTCGGCATAGGAAACTGCCCTCATCGTCTTTGCAAATCAAACGTGGCTGAAACGGCCAGCGACAAGAATGAGAACGTAAGTTGCACGAGATTCGGCACGAACACTGCCCACTGTGTCACACACACTTGGCTCCGATGACTCGAGGAAGCAGGACTGCAACAAACTGTCAATGTAGCAGGCCGCCTGCCACGTCCCCGTGCTTTCAGAAAGCAACTGCAGCACCTGCCAACTTTTTCACGTGTCAGTAGTCCCCCACAAGCTTTAAAGGTCTGCCAATCACAAGACTGGCCTATGGAAGCACACTTGTCCATTGAGGCAACCCGACGCTAGGAGGCAGTGTGTGGGTGAAAACTTGGTGCTCACCACATAATTGGAGTGACTCGTGTTGGTCAACATGTGTACCAAGGGCTTGGGCGGCGACTGTGGCACACAGTCGCTCAGCTCCCGCAGGTCAGCATCGAACGCCAGCAACCGGACGCCACGCTCGAGCGGAGAACACACGAGTCGTCCGTCGGTGCTGAAGCACAGCTCCTTGATCCAGCCACGGCCGCGATTGAGCTCCTGCGTGTAGTAGAGGAGGCGTGGCATGGACGACACCTTGCACCTGGTCTCCCGGTGGTTGGGCTCGCCCCCCCAACTCGAAGGCTGCAGTCCCAAAATGGGCTGGGGCCCGGGCAGGAGTCCCACCGCGTCCTCCATGGAGCCTTCCGTCACCGAGGGATGTCCCGCTCCTGTGGACACGTGGAAGACCCGGGACTCTGGCATTTCTTGGGGCTCCCTCCACACTTCCGGCATCCAGTGCTCCCACTCGGTGTGCAGAAAGATGGATGCTGACCGCGGTCGCAGTAGGTGCCAGTTGGGTAGGGCACCCCCTGAGTCACTGTCCGAGTCCGCCGTGTCTTTCTCTTCTCCCGAACTGCTGGTGTCGTTGCTGTCGTCTAGGGGCGGCTGGCCTTGGATGTCGTGCACGCAAGTCCACTGCAGAGAAAGGCAAGTTCCGCACAGCTTTGAGCTGGAACGGTGCGAATTGCCCATACGGTGCCAAACCATACGGCCGTTTCCTCCTTCGGCAGTTTAATTAGCGAGAAAAGCGGAGTGAACGAAGAGAACAAGTACAAAGTTGTATGAAGTGAGAGAGTGCGGGTGAGCCTGTTGTGAAATGACACGGGAGTACTTGTAAACCCAGAGATGGGGAAAATAAAAACAAAGACAACAAAATCTTAAAGGAAGCGCTCTTCTTAACGCGGAATGTGTCCTTTGGCAGGCACCTAAATGTTTCCGGTTTCACACTGGAGTGACAATCGTGTAAGTCCAGTGTCGGCATTTGGCTGGAACTTTTGTCCCCTCTGATCACTGGCGAGTAGAGTCAAATGCCGACGCGGTCCTCAATTGATATGACGAGAGTCCCGGCAGAATGCTGCCGCAAAACTAGCGTGATCTATGCCCCGTGCTGGCCTCTGCTAGGCACCCTATGCAAAATGCAGCACGATAACTTTGTTAAGGCCCTTTCCGGTATCACCGCTTGTGCATGTTCGTGGGCTCTGCTCCAGAGTTCAGGTTCACGAAACGATCCTACGCTGAAAATGTGAGTAAGACGAAACGTAAGACGAAACGTAAGAATCAATTCATATTCACGAAACGGAATTATCGCAAGGTTTGCGCAGGTTACGACGGAATCCTACTACAGCTCCGAAGCTGTCTTGCGCACTTTTTACGATCAAGTTACCATGGCCGACAGCGTCGCTCAACTACTTGACTGCGACGACCAATGGATGTTTATTTTTCTATGTGCTCTTCTCGGGCGTCGCGACTTCAAGCAGCAATAAAGAAGTACTTGAAACGGACCACGACGAACAAGAACGCTGGATCCACAAACACCCGGGAAAAGCTACAATGGCCACAATTCCACCGACCCCGACAAAGCAAGCTCGGTAAAATATAGGCCTAGCAGGCACTCGGGCTCGACGCAGCGTTGCTCCGACGGTCCTCGGCTGAGACCGACTGCCCACGACCGGCTGGCATGCTGAATGGAATATGCCCGCGCGACCCTTGTGGACCCTTCCTGTATTATAGTTCGATCGCTGACCTCAATTTCAGATTAAGAGGTCAATCTCTTCCCCTTTTCATCTCCTTTTCCAAGGCAGCGGTGACGAACGCTGTCGCCGAAAAGGGACTCTCATCGATTCTATCTCCTTGTTTTGTGTGATATAAAGCTAAAAAAAACGCCGTATGGATTACCTTCGCAACACAGTATGTACACTTTGTTGTTAGTATGCCATTTTTATTCTGCCACGACTGCACGTCACTGTCGAGCTATAACAGTTTGCGGGAGCTACGCAATGCCGGTTTAACCTTTCTTTGCCGAGTGTCACGTCAGTATCGAGTTGCCATTGTAAAAGATTGGTCCCGAAGCGCTTACCAATTCACGATCCAACAGCGCAAATCCAGCACTTCGATCAAACGCGCGTGTCTGCTTCGAGTGTGAACAGGTATTTACGTGGCTCTTGCTGACGCTTTCGTAGTTCAAACGTATTCTTTTTAATGTCTGCTCGCTCCTGCATCTCCGAGGCTGCGAAGAACGCCGCAGCAATTTGTTTCCATCTACGTCGCTTTGCAAACGACTGACACGGGCCGTCTTTTACTAACGATGACAGTTGTGTTGACTTCGTAGCGATAGAGTTTGTAGCAGTCAATGGAGGCGGCTACGCATCCCTGCGTCGGCATCCAGGCGCGTTTAAATCGTGTTAGCGTTGACACATCACTGCACGGACACGAACCTTATACGAGCTGTGGCGGAAAGGCCGCCTGTGCTTGTTATTAAAAAATACACAAGCTCCGAACTGCTCCGATTGGTTGTTCGTGCTGCCGAAGACGCTGCTGCCGTAGCAACAGCACCGGTAAGTTCTAGTTTTTCCGTACAAGAATGTCGCTTTCCTCCTATCACTTAAGAATGCGTTTGTGAATACCGATTTCTCCTCTAACGATGTTCTTAACTTACAAACTTCTTAGCTAAGTTGTCGTAAACTAAGAAGCTCTTCGTGAATCTGGCCTCGGTTCTTGCTCAAGTAGATCCAAGTTACTCTCGTGGGTCACATCACGTGATCAAACGTAGCAACGCTCTACTCCTTGCAGACATTAAAAGTGGGCTTTCAGCGTCCCTGCCAAGCGCGCACTCTCGTTTTCTTTCTTCACTCTCTCGTTTTCTTTCTTCACTTATAGCGGCACTTTCTGCATTGGGCTGCTCATGAGGAAGTCGCATCACCGCGCGACTCTCGTCTATCTTTTCTGTTCTGGTAGGTGTCAGTACTGGAGCTGCCTCTGCTTCAGAAATCGTGGCACTGCGATTGTATCCAGTTCGATGCGGCATCACATTCTGTGTTACTACTGCCTCTTTCACAAAAGTGGGGGGAAATGGCAACTTTTTGTTTTTGGATTTTTTTAATAGTCACTGTCATTTTTGCAATGTTTGGTTTCAGTTCTTTCGACTGGTACGATCACAGTCCGGTTGTGTCGTTCCTCGCTTGTCCAGTATGATGCGGACAAACATTTGACACCACTCTCTCGCCTAAGGCAGAAGTGCACCCTGGTATTACCCACCGTTGTGGAAGACCCACTCACCTCTGACTTTTCGTTCCGACTCGTGTTGCGGGACAACACGCACCAGCCGTGCGGGTGCACTTGCAAGGACGAGATGATCTCGGCTTCATTGTCCCGGGGGAAGTCGCAGATGAGCTCCACCCGATTGCGCTTGCCAGGGAAGTGGTGGCTGCGGCAGTCGCCCGCGTGGAAGGACACCTTCTGGGTGGACTTCCAGCGGTACGTGCGTGGCAGCTGCAACAGGACGCCATCCCCGTCGCAACCCCTCTTGTCCTGCTGCCCTGCCACCACTCACCTGGAAGCCCCGCAAGTCGTGGGCCAATGTTTGGAGGTCTAGATCGTGGATCACCACCAAGTAGCCCCCTGTTGTGCAGATGACCATCTTCTGGTTGTCCGGTGTCAGCCGCATCCGCATGAGCCCGTTGGTATAGAAGATCCTCTGGAATTCGGTGCCTGTCTCGGAGAACCTGGAGAGTTTGTTTCGGTAGAGAGCTTAGGCTTGACCCTTTCGAAAGGGGAAAGGGGGGGGCTTGTACCACCTACCCGGTGTTTTTGTTTAGACAGCTAATATATGTCTAACACTGAGTTTTTTTTAGCTGCAATACATTTTCAAATAAAGGGGGGCAAAGTTTTATGAATGCAGTTTTCACTGCATGTTTCTATGGCTCGGCAGACATTAGATGGGAATTTAACTAGCACTATTATCAGACTACTTAACGAAAATTCGTCAATTAACTTTTTAATTGCTGTAATTAGGATATATGTTCATATTACAAACTTTGTGGCGGTCGTATGCCAAGACATCCATTTTGTAGAATTTGTGTAACTAGCCCGTGTTCCGAAATATCTGCCCTTGCATTTTCTACTTAAAACGACTTCTCCACTCAATCCAGCAAACCCGCCAGATAAAAGAGCAAAATTCGGGGACGAATATCGTGGAACACGGCTGGTTACACGAATTCTACAAAATGGAACAGTCTTGGCATATGACCGACTCAAGGCTTGTAATATAAGCATTATATTCTAACTGCAGTCCTTAAACAGTTAATGAATTTTAATTATACTGATAATAGTGATGGTTATATTCCAATCTAATGTCCACCGAGCCATATAAACATCAAGTGAAAACTACATTCATATAACCTCTTCCCCCTCAATGTAGAAATTTGGTGCAGCTAAAAAAAAAAAAAAAAAAAAAAAAAAAAAACTTGTATATACAAAGTTGAGGTGAGGCCTTTCAATAGCACTATTTTGAAAAACTTTGATTCATGCGACGAAAACGCTTCTTAGCAACCAGGTGCGAGCATCTTCCACTCTACGGATCGCCAAGAAGGAAGTAAGAAAATGATTCAATGTATGGACGACAGATGCCACGGTGGCCAATGCAGTCCTAAAAGCAACTTTCGGCGTTGTGTTTGTTTAGCGTAATGGCAATGTTTATGGGTTTACTGGTGCAACAGCACTAACGGTCACACTATGCCAGTTTTAGAGTAATTGAATCGACAGCTGGATTAAAGATGTACAAAGATTCTCAACCTGCTGTGGTTATGGACTGGAAGGACATTTGTACTTCAGGCAAAAGGATGGCCACTGCTCTTTCTGTTTGCCTAGTGCGAGAAATAAGCACGAGGCTCTTGTGTTACACCCACTGGAGGAAGTCTATATTTGCACTTACATTTCTAAATATCTGCAGCTTATGTAAGCTGAGGATGAGAGTAACACCCCTTAACTGTCAAAGACGAGCTCCGCTGGAGCAGCAGGTATGCTTCATTAGCAATTCAGAGAAAGCTGCTAGTGCAAAGCAATGCTTTTTATACTTTTTTACACCTTACAGCTGTGGTAAAGCCAAGGCTACAGGGCAAGCATCTTGCTTTGGAATGCATCTCGTGTGCACGAGAATCTGCAAGAGCCACGAGCGTGTGCCGGTTGAATTGGCTCCATTTGCTACAAGTAAAAGTACAAAATGTTCCTGCTACACAAATGCTACCTGCTCACGCTCTGAACACTTGCAGACACACTGAATGCAATACAAGATAGGTGGGTTTTTTACAGCAGTTTGACTGCAACATTAAAGGGATGCCGAACCAATATTCAGCTTTTTTATGTTTGACTGAACCAATATTCAGAAATGTTTGACTGGACCCTACGAAGCCAGAAACGCCAATTATACCATGGTATCTCAAACAAAACGCTGTATTTCTTGAGAAGAATATCGCAATCAAGCTGGGCTTGCAGCCGGCCTTCAAGATGTGACGTAGGCAAGTTCGCTTTCCTCCTCACCTTCAAGATTTCTCTTTCGCACCCTGCGCGTCAGCCTTCCAAGGACTGACACGTCCCGAAGCTTGCAATTCGGTTATTCGCGGTTTTCGGCTTTAAATGATTTTTACTGCATCATTATTCGAAATACTGTCATGTATGGCATGTATACATATGTCATACTGTTAACAGGCTTAATTAAGCTGTTATGTTATATATAACACCTTATGTTACATGTAACATGTACATGTGATACAAATACTGTATAACATATTTTATAGTTGCTACTACGAGATAATCACACCTCGAATTTTTGGTTCAGTATACTCCTTAATACTTGGACAATGCCTTATCATAGGGATAACCCTGGAACAACAAACTGGCAAAGTGAAATGCGTTAGAATGTCTCCATACTACTTCCCGCGCTTAGAACCACTAGGCAAGGGAAGTTCCCCTTAGTCCCAAGACACACACATCCCACACAGAAAAAAGGTTGATGTCCTAATAATTTCTGCCAAAGGACCTAACATATCCTCAACTATAGTCCGCAGACTATACACATTTAAAAGATAAAATTTTGCATAGTGCAGACTATAGACTGACACGCGGGCTTGACGTCACGGAGTTGCGGCGGCGCTGCGATCGCACTGGAGCCAACTGGTGTGGGCAAAAGGGCGCACGTTTCGCATGGGTGTCATAGCATTTCAGCATGCCGCGAAGCTGTTTTGCCGTTAATTGCACCGAAATGTAGAAGAAAAGTAGCGGAGAGAGTTTCCACAAGTTCCCGGCAGACTCTGAAAGGCATATATAGAAGGTGGATAATAGCCCTGGGTCGAAAAGAATGGTCGCCTCGCGCGAACGACCGTTTGTGCAGCAAGCACTTTCGAAGGCAAGTGCGGCTTCCATTTCAATCTCCGTCCAGAGGCTTGCTTATGTGCAGGGAAACCGTCGTCTGATCGAGACCACCCGGATTTTGTTCCCACGGTGTTCGTGCGCACAGCACCGGCCAAGCGCTCGTCAGAGGCTCACTACACCCGTGCTACCCAGCAGAAGGGGATCGGCGAGAGAACGGCAGTGTTGTAGGCGTTACCGAAAAAAAGTAACGAAATAAGTTACTTGCTACTTGGAAATAAAAGGTATGCATTACCGAGTTACCTTACCTAAAAATTAAAAATAGTAACGCATGTTACTTCTGCGTTACTTTTTAAATTATGATTTAATACGTTTTACGGTTTTGACGATACAGGTATGCATAAGATCATATATTAAGAAACATTATGTTCATGCAGAAAGTGAACATAATTACTTTATCTCTTTTTACGGTTTCACCTAAATACTCACGAGAAAAAACGCAAAGAAAAACATGGCTTGACGATTAAAAACACGAAAAAAATTGAAAGTGTAATTTCTTTAAGACTAGGGAAGTAGTAACGAGTAACGTAAGTATGTTACCCGTTACTGTTTCGAAAAAGTAACGAGTAGGTTACTACGTTAATGAAAAAAGTAACGCGTTCCTGGTAACGCCATTACTTGTAAGGTGTTACCGCCGAGACTGCAGAACGGACAAAGCGTTGCCGCTTGTCATGCCTTGTGGTCATGAAGGTAGGAAAAATATCATACCTTGAGAGTGCAAGACGCTGTGTGTATTTAATCAATTATTAAATACACTTCCGTTGACCCACAGTCTGCTGATCCCGCTGGCAGTGCGGAAACTGACTCGAAGCCATCGTAGGCCTCGAGAGACTTGTACGCCTCCACCGTGTCGGCCGTTAACTGGCTTGGCGAAAAAACTAAATAAACGACGACGTGAGCCGTCGACTTCGGTGCAGCAACTTCACGTCGGAAGTCCAGCAGGCCTTGTTTACGGCGTACGGATCCTCGTAGGCAACGCCGTCCACGCATAGTTTGTTTCGGTACCGCTGCCGTTCAGGCTCGGGTAGCAAGCTCAAATAGTTGGGCATAGCATACGACATACGTCGTCAGGAAATGCGACGCACAAATAAAGCTAGAAGCGTCCCTACAATGTCAACGACGGGCGTGCACGCCACTCAACGCAATGGCGAAAACACGGAGCGCCGGGCCGCTTTTGCCCACACAGCTACCACGATTGCGCGGCCTTCCGGCCGTGTTGGTAAACAGAGCCATTCCGCGTGTCGGTCGATACGAGCATGTGTTTATGACACTACCTACTCATTATGACAAGACGTGACAGATTTTGTGAAATTGTGATTTATGTATGATACAAGCTTCTTTGTAAGCTAATTAAGCAAGCCATTGTCAAAGTGTGCTGTGTATGAGCATGTTTTATGTGCGGACTGTAGACAAAACATGAGGGTCCGACGTCAGGCTGCTGCAGTGCCCACACCTGGTGTGGGCAAACACGGGATTTTTTTAAACAGTACTTTGGCCCATAGAGTTATTATAATGTATGCTAGAGGTTCAAGTGGCACTAGTGTGCTGATGCAAATTGAAGCAGACAGCAACCAGTCGAAAACTGACTTCCGGTAATGCATTTCTATGAGAAAAAGTGAGTGCATTTTCTCTCTGCGCTCGATCATAAGAGCAAATATCCCGAATAATTCGTACGTACTAGGTAGCTTGGAACATTTCTCAGTCAGGCCAACGAAATAATTGGTCAGTTACGGTGTTTTTCTTTCAAATTCATCGCATTAAAAACGGTGCTAAAACAGCTTCGTACGTGTATTTATGTGCACTGTCGGACACTGTTAGCGCGAACACGACGTCGGCGCTTTTCAGCGTGGGGGATATACGTGCCAAACGAACGAAGAACATCTGGAAATTAAGAAAGACGGCAAGAACTATGCAGTAACACCGGATCAGTAACTACACGTGCATATACGATCAAAATTAATTGAAGGCCACGTAATCTATTCCTATTTTAAATAAGTAAGTACCGTTTTATTCTTTCTGCTGTGAGCGAAGCTGCTTGTTCTACGTTCAAAATATCACTCGCACGCTCGAAATCTTTGAGAACAAGTGCCCGATAAAAGCTGCCCGGCAGAGAAAACAATACGAAGAGACAACTTTTATAGCCCACGGACTTTAGTCTCTATGTTTTGAATGTTCTTATCCGCTCATGCACGACGGGGTCATTTTTATATAGTGACAGGACTGGCATATTATCAATGTATAAGCGTCACCGGATTGCTGGCGAGCCTTGAACACACTCTACATTCCTTTCGATTGTAATTTTGCTTCGAATCGTCGCTTGTTTCTACACACCTGCTGCGGAACACACGTTTGGGACTGAAATGTAGCGAAGTTAAACATCGGTCACTGATGAAGAAAAATGCGCTAACTAAAGCAATTACACTTTTACAGTGTTAATCAAGGTACATAGTATTCGGTACGACCCAAATAACCAAAGTGTTCCGTGTTATTTTCCGGCGAAGAGACAAAATGCACGCGCGCTTTCCCATAGGAATACACAGGAAGACTGGAAAAGTAGACTGGTTGCTGTCTGCTTCAATTTGCGTCACGGAAGTCGCATAGACACTAGCGCCAGTTGAACCTCTAGCGTACCTTATAATAACTCTATGCTTTGGCCTTTAGTCTAGAAAATATGGTTTTTAGGAAAATCAGTGATGTTCGGTATAATTAGGTTCTAACTTTTCAGTGATTAACCTTTTAATTAGTAAATTTGAAGGTATGATTTCAATTAGAAACTTTTTAGACATCACCGATGACCGCTAAATCAGTCTACTTTACAAAAATATATGGCATGTGGAGCATTTTAGTGTTCCATAAAAATTCAATTTGAACACATTTTGAAATATTGGTTGCCTATAGAAACACATCTCCTCACCAGTGGTCCTGCTTTGCATGGCTAAAGCCCGCAGCTAATGTGCGCTGCCTGTTATTCTTGTATTGCCATTTGAATAGTACAGCGTTTCATTTCGCCGGCTCGCGCCATGCTTCCTTCTCTCCTAGAAGTGAGGCGAAGCAGTAATTGCACGCCTTGGCCGCGGGTAGCACAATCGCTGGCACAAAGATGCACTCCGGTGGAAAACTGAAACCTAGAAACGCGTACAAATTGAGTATTTCTTCAGAATGCTGTAAAATGCTATGCATGCCTTATACTTTTGTGTAAAGTGCACTATTAAGTGGTTTTTGATGATTTCCAGAAAGTTTCTAACTCTAGCCATACTTCTATATGCACTAATAGACCTATTGCCGAATTACCCAAGCATTAAAAATAATGCCGGGAACGTAGGTACACACTCTGGCACCTGCAGCAGTAACTGTTTGAAAGCAAGAAATCTAAAAGAAATAGCACTTTGCACGTGCGTTCGTCAATGCCTTATTTTGATTATTTACTTTGAATCCTTTGTGCAGGGAAGGCAAGCGTGTGTACCTACGTCCCCGGCATTCTCTTTGGTGCTTGAGTAATTTAGCAAAAGGTCTATTCAAAAGTAATTAACGTAATGATATCAAGCATTATTAACTGTCCTATTAGGTCCTTTGCAGAAACCAATAGGACAACCTTTTTATTTTTGTGCAATGCATACTTTTTGCAGGAGTGAGGAGCACTGTATTTGACAGTGACAGGTATGGAGACGCATAACTGCCAACAATTGCTGTGCTATGCAATCGTAATAAATATAAATGAAATGGTAGTGACCAATAAGAATCTTTCAAAGCTTTTGGCAGCAATCTCCTTCCCTATTGGGCACGGTTACAAATTGGCTCTATATTTTGACGAGGCAACATCTGGCCATGGTGCCACAATGTCCTCGCACTTGCATAAATTGAGTGGTATGAAGACATTTGTAGTAGGCTGCACGACACACACAAAGAAAACCGTTTGTTCCACAACATTTTTAAACAGTAACAGCATGTCATGATGGGCATGGAATATCTGGGGTTAACTCACTTGTTGATGTCCCAAGTGTGGATGCTTCCATCAAAGCCCGACGTGACTAGCAGCCCTGCATCACACGCATACTCAATGTTTTTGACCCAGTTGCAGTGGCCAACCAAAGAACGTATTTTTCTGTGTAAGTTCCGCACATCCCACAGTGCCACTGTAGTGTCGTCGGAGCAAGTGGCAAACATTCGTGAATCCAGGAACCTGCAACCAAGGGCAAAAAAGAGCAACTCAGCGTCCTCAAAATGCTAAAGCACAAGTACCCTAACCCCACTCTTTCCACAGCCCAACCTACCTGGCATAGTTGATGCAGTCACGATGTGCATGTTCCACCTTTTTTATCTGTCTGTGGCAGAGGGGGTCAAAGACGAGGATACTTTTGCCCTCTGTGGCTGCTACCAAAATAGAGCTGGAAGAAAACAAGCAACAGCACGTCTTTACCACCGAGGTACAACGTGCAAAGAGCATAGCAGCAGCTCTGCCAGCTTGTAAGCTAAACACGCCCTAAAATGAGTTGTGATGCACGCTACAAAACTCGCACACATGCCCAGCACTGGCAGAAGGAAAACCAAGTTATTCGCGAGCATTATCTTGAGAAGGAAACTCCCAGAACCGCCACGCCAATGTCCTGAATAGCAAATGTTGCACACTGACTCTATCAGAAATATGTGTAAGTCTGTCTGGCACAGAGCAAATTGTGGATGGAACTTTTTCCAGTAAGCTTCTGCACATATGCACACCCTCTCCCCTGGCCTTGCTTCATGCTGTCTCCATTTTCGAAGGGCACCATCCCGCTTGACCACCATTGTCAGCGCGTATCTTTCCGAGTATTTAGTCTTTTTGGCGATCCTCTTCCTGACTATCGGTAGCATGGGGCATAAAAAAATGAAAACCAATACAACGGTACAATGTTACTATAGATAGATGGGGTTTATATGCGTGCTTGCAAACAGCCAAGTGGCCTGCGCAGCAGTCCACTGTTCTGTACATAGATACATAAAAGTGTAAGATAAAAAAACTATCGAGCGAAAATGGCTGCTTCAACAAAAAAGGCATTGCGAGTCTGTTGCAGACGTCATTGGGTAAGTGGCCCGCACATCAGGATAAAAATATCTCTGCATTTTGATGTCCTCCTAAAACACATGTCAATGTGTTTTGACGAACGGAGTCCTGTTGGGCTGCCCTACATTTGTAGTTCGCAGACAAACTGCCACACGGTCCTCATTACTTAAAAAAGGTCCATTGAAGCCTCCTATGTAGACTAGCAGAATACTTGTGTGTCAATCACATGCAAGTAGCTGCGATAGGAAGCATTTATGGAACTGCTGCTGTTCACTGTAGAGTATGTGACAACCAGCTTGGAAAAAAGCCTACAATATGCACTGTCACACCACTTCTAAGGCCTAGCAAACTAGTTTGTCCTATTTGCAGCCTAAATGGGACAGGAGGGAGGGGAAAGGATGCCCTGAAAGTTTAGCCAGCAAATGGTAATGTGACTGACAGGGGATGGGGGTCACATCAAAAAGAGCATGCTCTAGACCAGGGGTCTCAAACACGCGGCCCGTGATTCGCTGGGACGCGGCCCGCAGGCAACCGGCTACGAGTCGCGGTTCCCATGTCTCGAGTGCTAGAAAAAGCATGCGGCTTCGTGATCTCTTCTCGCCGATTAATTTTCGCTCGAAAAGTAGCTCTGTTCTTTTAACACATTCCCATAGTTTATACTTATCTGTGTTTATTTGACCTATGTTTCGCTTCTTTTTTTTTGCTTCCCAGCTTTTTTGTAATGTACGACTGTTCCGCTACCAGGCCGCAAGCGCGGTCTATTCGTTGAAGGGTGCATCTCGGCTGCGCAAACTTTCGATCAGACGGAGCAACCGCCAAAAATAAAGCGACGAGCTCGGGATCCTCACCTTCAAAAAATGTAAAAATTAAAAGACAAGTATTTGCTCAGTGTTGTAGTAAAAATCGTAAGGAAAGCAAAAACTGCCAAATTAACCAATTTTTTTTTTTCTTTTCGAAATATGTTTAGAGCTTGAGCACGACAGTGTACATCTTCCGTTCTTCTATTAAAAATGGCAGCACGTTGGCGGGGCGGTGTCATTTTAATTCTAGTTATCACATCACGGCAGGGCCCAGAGTAGTCATAAAACACATGAAAGTGAAAGACCTCACTGGCAAAACTGTGATTTTACAAAAAAAAAGCATAGAGAGCGAGGTCTCTTCGCTATAAAATTTTATGCCCCCTCCCCCCGTCTGACGTTGGCTTGTGACCTTTCCGGTGTGGGCTATTTGGCCCCCACACTTGAATGAGTTTGAGACCACTGCTCTAGACAGATCATAAATTTCTAACATGCTCCTATTGTACGAGGACTTGCTTGTATGGCAGATGCATCTGCAAACTATGCATTTGCATGCATCTTTTACTCTGTACCTGAGCTAAGGTTAAAGTAAACACCCCTCACTTCTGGTTCTAACATGTTTCCAGTACAAGGCACTTGCCATCACAAGGGCACCACAAAATACAACCTTTTCGCCAAAAAGATTTTCAGGATGCCGTGCAACAACCAGACTATACGATCCACAGAAGTTCATACAAAGCACGAATATGAAGAACCTCAAGAGAGCCTGCTTACCCGTCTGGGGAAAAGGAAAGGTTGAAGATGCCACCGTGCGACGACCGTGTCAGTTCTGGCTTCTCGGACGGTCTGAGTGCACGGTACAGGTTGCGCACTGTGCGGTCTGTGGCACCAATGTATGAACTGAAGCCCAGGCGCTGGTCGTCCACCCTCTTCCCCCAGAAGTCAGTTCGCTCCCATTTCATTGTCACACAGTTGGCACCTGCACACCCCTGCAGCCAAAGAAAGCATGGAACAGAGCAGCAAAGTGGTTAATTGGGCCAGTTGGTTCAGTTTAAAAAGTAAATACCGCCAAAAACAACAAGGACCAAAACGAAGTAAGAAAACACAAGGTGGACTTGCAACTACCGTAAAATGTCAAGTGCCCACTCAAAATATGGAGATAATAGCGAAAATTGGGGAACGGGCACTTGTTAGGTCATCCATTTTACCTATATGTGCATACTTTTTCAGATGTTGCGAAATTTGGGGGTGGGCACTTAGTATGAAACGGGGCGGATGCTCGGTATTTTACGGTTTATTCGGAAAGAACATGCCTTATATAGGGGTTTAATAATATGGGCAAACATAAGCGTGGCCTTATCAAAAAAAGGTGATATCAAACAGGCTTTGCACCGCTATGACAATGACTAGACAGGCCGATGGGTCCTATATCACATGTTCTTTCCGAATAAACAACAGTTGCCAGTGCACCTTGGGTTGTCTTACTTCATCTTGTTTTCGGCGCCTTCATTCTTCTCAAACATGGCACACACAAATTGAGCATGGAAAACCAGAAACCCATCCACTCGGATGGGCTTCTGGTTTTGCGTGTGCTGCGTGCATTGACAATGTACTACGTGCATTGACACGCTGCCACAGGTCGCACTGCGGCATACTGGCTTCCGGCGAAAATCCATGATCAGATATACAGCTAGGAGATTTGCTGAAAAGTTGATTGCTGCAGTTTTCGCAAAAACAAGTGATGCACAAAGAAACAAACAGAAGATAAATATTTAAGAGGTAATCCATTCGTGTCACCGCCTCACAATCCAAATGGGTTGAAGTTCTGACACACAATCTTGCACTACCTCTGACTTCAACACGTAAATAGAAAGCATTTGCGCGACAAGGCTGCATTCAATTTCGTGAACGTCAGTGACGTAGACAGTATCTTTTTGTTTCTTTAAGGCAAAAAAAAAAAAAAAAGAAACGACTTCCGTCCCCTTAATATGCTTCTAGTGACCGTGAAGCTATTACCTATGAGCTTTGACAAAATAAGCCAAATAAGCGTAAGGGGGCCAGGCGGAATGGCGCCCGCAGCGATTCCGATAGCGTCATTGGAGCTACGATTAACGCCGACACGCAACGTAAACAGGTCACCAGGAAAGGTCCCGGTAAATACACATTCAGCTAACGGAATGCTAGATCAAGTGTGCTCCACCTAAATGCTCGTAGGGCATGCCTTTTTGCTCTTATTGACGAGTTCGTCGAGAACATAGACGGCACTAGCAATTGGGAGATCATGCCACTTATGTTCGCGATCAAAACACAAAGTTCTGCGAAATACGGACGAAAAAAACACCAACACTACAGCGATACGCTTGTGCCTCGAGTCCACTGCCAAACCTCACCACCACCACCGTAGAATATCACTCGGCAGCGAAAGTGTGGCGCAGCACAAAAACAAATGGAGAATAAAATAAAATAAAAAACACGAAAACATCAACATCGAATTCCTTGACGAGGCCGATCGCGCACACTCGTTTCTCGGGGATGACCCAAAGGATTTCCAACGTTGAGGCAACCTACCTGCTATATAATGTAGTGCACCACCGCAGAAGAAAAAAAAAAAAAAATGTTGTGGAGTAAATACGGAGCACAATGAACGCAGTGCCGTGCGTTTACAAAGGCTATCACGAGGACTATGGGCGACCGCAGCGCGGGCCTGTGCTGCTTGTGTTCAACGCCTTCGACGCTGAAGGACTGAAGGCTGAAGGCAGTCAAGCAGATTAGCGGATTACCCTCGGGAGTGGTGTACCACGCTCACTATGCTACACATTCGATCCATAGAATTTTTGCGCGAGTCACGAAACCGACGAAGACGACGCAGCAGCATACAATTTTAAGACGGATGGAATCATGGGATGGATGGTGCCTACAGGGTTGCTTGGCTTGCTTTGCTGTTGCCGACGCGGGCAACAAAATTACCGGCATTAGAATCTCAGAAGCTTCAAAAGTCACCGCGTACAAATAAAGTAAAATTAATAAAAAAAAAGTTTCAACTTGACATACAAAACCCAGACGATAGTGTGCCTAGATTACAGAGTGGATAGATGAATGGAAGTTAACCATAGAAGTTAACCAGAGCCCCGATGTTAAAACGGCTACACCTATTGTAACGGGCGGTAGCTTGCGTCACCTACCCTAGTCTTGGGAGCCAAGCCAGGTCAAACCGTCTGGAACTCTTTTGTTTTTGTTCTTATTTTTTTTTAGCCACGTCATATCAACAACATTTCTTTTAACGCGCCTGCGACGTTCCTTTGGGAGCGACCGCCCTGATGCAAAAGAGTTTTGGTGCAACTGAATACTGAATACTGACAAATATATGATTCCCCCCGCCCTTCTAAGACCAATTTTCTCCCCCTATCACCAGGCAGTGTGGGATATCACCAAGGCGACCTTCGGGGGATCGGACAAAAAATTAAAAAACATCACCCCCCGCCTCTTCCACCCGGCGAGGGAGTCGCCAATTTTCCTTTGGTCAAACCATTGCCGGCGTTACCCCAGCACCGGACCCACTGGGGGACAGGGTTGAGACTTTGGGCAGGAGCCACGATGGATCGGAGTCCAAATTTTCCTCTGTCCCGTCTGTCCCCAGCTGTGCTAGTTAGTTGTGCGTCATTAAATTTTCATTAGATAATTTCCACCAATGTTCTAATCTCCTCTTTCTGACTGTAATCTTTTTCTCCTCCCAAAAGCCCTGGTCAAATATGTTTCCCCTTCAGGGAAAGGGGGGGGGGGGGGGGGGGGGGGGGGTAGGGCGAAGTCCCGTGCACCTCAAAACCAAGTGATCCGGTGTCTCGCTCTCATTATGACAGGCGGCACACAATGTGTCTGTCTCCTGAAATTTAGCAATATACGTCCTCGTCCTCAAAACTCCCGTTCTCGCCTAGAACAGCAAAGAACTCCCCAGCGAGTTGCCAAACCGGTTTACCTTTCTTATGTCCTGTTTTTGTGACCTGTACACTGTTAGAGCCTATTTTTCCTCCATTCTTCCCTCCCACATTTTCCTTTCTGCCTCATTCACTTCCTTTTCCACTGAGGTAGTCTGCTCAGCCCCATTACTAGTGAGTAGGTATTTAAATCTATGCTTTTGGGGTTCGGTTTGTCCATTTTGTGTTTATGCTTTTCATGTATAAGCACTTGTACACCTTACGTGTCCACCACGCAGGCACGTAGCCAGGACTTTGTTGGGGGGGGGGGGGGGGGGGGGGGCCATGACAAAATGCTGTATGAGGGGGAGGGGGAGAGGAGGTTCCAGCAAAATGGAAAATTTCGGGGGGGGGGGGGGCGTACTTCATGGCCCGCCCCCCTGACTACGTGCCTGCCACCGCGTATCATCCATTTCGGTCAACCTTTGTTCAAATTTCAGCTAATTGCCTTCCTGCTCTCAAAAGACGGCCAGCCCATGTGCCCCTGTACTCCCTCATTCGGTGTCTTCCCATGTGCTCCCAATGCCAATCTGCCTACGATTCTTTGCCGAATTTCTAATCCTGACTGAACCTCTGATTTCATGCAGAGCACCCCATTGCCGAAAGACAGTCGACGTACCATCACTCCCTTTTATAAACCCCTGACCACTTCATATCTATTATAGTTCCGTAGTGCCTTGACCTTCATAATAGATCAATTTCTTTTCCTTTTTCTAATTATATTCTCCTCATGTTCCTCTAGATATTTCTTTCCCTCATTGAGCCAGACTCCCAGATATTTGTATTTTCCTACATGGTCCATTAAAATGTTTTATATCCTCAGGGGTTCCCTCTCCAGACTTGTCGCTATTAAAGCTCATGCCCAAGGTGTCCCCTTCCTCTCCACATATGCCAGCTAGTTCCTGTAACGTATCCTGGTTATCTGCCATAAATACTATGTCGTCCGGATACATCAGTCCTGGTATTCCCTGTATTACCTTTCTCCCTCCTTCCATATAACTCACATCGAAACCTAAGTTGCTCTGCTCTAATTTCTTTTCCATGTCACTGAGATATATCATGAAGAGCAGAGGTGACAGTGGACAGCCCTGCCCGAGTCCTCTTTGTATTGCTGCAGGTTGTGTAATTTCTGCTTCCCATGTTATAACCACCTTATTGTCTGTTTAGACCTGCTGAAGAAATCTAACCAAATTTGCATACAAATTATACTCTTCCGGCCGACCCCAAAGGATTTCCTGGCTTACATTATCGTATGCTCCCTTGGTGTCCAAATAAGCTAACTATAAAGGAGTTTGGTTTTTCATTGCTATTTCTATACATTAAATGGTGACGAATAATTTATCTTCCAGTCTCCTAACTCTGCGGAATCCATTTTGGGGCTCACCCAGTATTTGCGTATCTTCTGCACATTCCTCCATTCTCCACTTTACAATCTGTATAGCTAATCTGTATAGAACTGAGGTTACTGTTATCGGACGATATGACTTAATGTTGTTTTTCTTTCCTCTGCCCTTATATATTAAGCGCCGTTCACACTCTTGCGACTGACTAAGACCGAGAGAGACCAGACCGGTTTTTAAGCCTTTTGCGACTTCTTAGGACCAGACACGCCCTGCAGCGGAGCTGGTCCCAAGAGATCGCAAGAGGCTTAAAAACCGGTCTGGTCTCTCTCGGTCGTACTCGGTCGCAAGAGTGTGAACGGGCCTTTAGTCTCATTCTGTTAACTTTCCAATCATTGGATACTTCTCCTCCCATAATTGCTTGATTAATCACCTGCCGTAACTTCAATTTGCTTGTTTTTTCTAGTGTCTTTATGAGTTCCATGGGCAGGTGCGTCCGCAGTGGGGTGCAAGGGGGGGGGGGGGGCAGAATTGCCCCCACCTGAAATTTCGAGGGGGGTGAAAGAGGGGGGGGGGGACTGCACTTACGCTACATTTCCTGAACACCATGAATTTACTGTTCCCAACATGCTATTTAATATCTGGAAATTCAAAATAGCTATTGAAAAACGGCCAATTAAAAAACAAAACAGCAACAACAACAAAAATAAACGTGTTAAGGTTACGCCACGAGACCGGGGAAACTTGCTTTCGACGCGTTGTCTTTTTCCTGCAACACTGCGCGTCCGTAAAAATTTCCACGTGTTGTCAACGGCAAGTCTCACGGCTCACACAAGGTTTTAGAGAACTTATTTGGCGAATAATCACGAACGAGTAGAGAATGTGTCTTCAGCACGATGCCACCAGCCTGCGCAACACTCCAGAAACGCGATTTTCTTACATGCAAGATGGCCGCCCGGTGGCTTCATTCGCGAGAGCGGGAAGCGCGATCCAGCATTGTGTTATCGAACGTCATCAGGTAAATTCAATTGGGCGTTTTGGAGCGCGCCGGGATCCGTTGACCAGATCCGGAATGGAGCACACGATCCGAACGGGGGTCGCGCCGCCTACGGATCCCCAGTTGAACAAGACCACTGCTCCGGGATCGGCAGATGTGGCTTCCCGTCATTCACCTGCCCGGGAATCCCCTTTCCGCGGCCGACGCGGTCGTTTCGAAGATGTTTTCGCAATCGCGGCGCTAACACGTGTTCGACGCACGAGCGGCAGGAATGGCTCAAGAGCTTCTAGAAAAATTGCCGGCATGCCCGTAGTGCGGCAAAACCTTCTCCTTCTAGGAAAACGAACCGGCTGTCGAGCCAAGGGGTACACCATACAACGGGTAAGCAAGCAGCCATTACGAATTCTTCCGAGGCGAGATGGGCGAGATCACGCGAGATGCCCCGCGAGAAAGGAAGTCACGTGTGTGCGCCGAGGGCTGGCCCGGCTGGCTTCCGGTTGAATCCGCCGAAATCGTCGGAGCAACTTTTCCCAGATCCAGATCGAGATCTGGAGCGGGAGCTCATCCAAAACGACCAGTGCACGTTTATAAAGCCTATATTTAGCTGTCTCCTCTTCTCTTTTCCTCCGAGGCTTCCTCCTGCCCTCCCCTCCCTCCTCCCCCCCCCCCCCTTACCAAATGTTTACCAAAGTTCTCATCTACTTTCGGGCCCTCGGTGGGTCAAAAAAAAAAAAAAACACAAAAAACATTTGCCCTGTCTCCCATCTTAGCCTCGATACGCCGGAAGAAGAAAACGACCTTGACAGCAGTCCAGCTTTTTCAGACCTCCGCATTTTTGGTTGTTTCTCAATCAATCTTCGTCATCTCTGCATCCCCAACTAACCAAGAGGCCTCTACAACGTCTTCCGCCTCGTTCCGGAGTAGGTAACCACTTCCGCCGACGGCCGATCATGCCTAACGCCACCCAAGACGACGCTGACCAGAACACGGATCAGAACAGCAACTTGAGCCCTAACATCGAAGCCACCATTAGTAAGATTCCTCCAGCTACGGACAATGACCCAATCATAATGGACGGCCAGGATCCTCCGGACGGCGAGATTCTGAGCTCGGATGCTGCTCTTGACGACGGCGGTGAATGGTATCCAGCCCGTGCTCCCCGAAAACGCCGGTACAAGGAAACATCCAGTCAAGACTCGGAAAAGGACGCCCCTCGGACCGAAAGCCTCACCGTGATATTTGTGCCAACAAAAGAAGGTGACCGTATCAGCAGTCTGAGCAGCCTAAAGCTGTCAGACGGTTTAGAACTTCTGTGCCCCGAGTGCATTGTCCAAATTGGGCCAAATGAGCGTCTGAACTTAATTGCCGTGGATGTGAGAAATGGATTCACCACAAGAGCACTGCTCAAATGCACACGGCTCTGCGGACTTCCAGTGAAGGCGTACGAGGGCCTTGCAGGTCCCACAGTCGAAGGTGTGATCAAGAACGTCGACATAGCACTTCCTGAAACAAAAATTGCTGGACGACTGCAGTCTGATACGGAGATCGCTCGAGTACGTCGTTTCGGCTCCTCTGAGTGCGTATGGATCACCTTTCGTGGAAGCAAGCTTCCAAGCCATGTTCTTCTTGGGCGAGTCCGGCATCCAGTGATGGAATTCCACCACCGTCCGACTCAATGCTACCGGTGTGAAGGCTTCGGACACTACGCTGTCACGTGCAAGCGTTCCGTTGCTTGCAGCCGATGCGGTGAGAAGCATCCAACAATTGACGAAAAAACAAAACAGAAATGCACCTCCACGTCTATCAAATGCGTGAACTGCGGAGGACAGCATGAGGCAACATCCCCAAAATGCCAGAAATGGAAGAATGAACGAGACATTCTTCACTACTCGAAGGTGAACTCTGTCGATCTCCGGACTGCTCGAGCAGCAATACAGAACCCCCAAAGTAATCCCACGGAGTACGGCGCTTCGACCCCTTTTCAAAGATCTCTGGTGGCGGTGACCACAAAGAAACACCGCGCCCGAGAAAATTGCTGTTCCGGAAGCTAAAGGAGTTGTTCCAGCATCATGCGCTTCAACATCCGCATCAGCATCCGTCACCGGCACTACATATTCAATGATAGCAAAAGGGATTCAACAGTCGTCCCGCACTCTACCGAAGTCCCCTCCACAAAAGCAGGCTGTTACACCCAGCAACGACCCCATAACGGAGAAAATGGACTGCGATACTCACGAAGCAAATCCGCCTTCTCAGGAGAACATTTGCAATCTCAAGCCTCCAACAACGAATGTCACAAATTCAAAGCCATCTTCGCTACCGACTCCAGATGTGGACTGGCTGTCCATTATCAAAACCGCTGCACATATGGCATGCTCTTTTCTCACACCCCTACAAACACCATGGGCATGTGGTCTACAATGGGTGGTCCAATTCGTCATTGACCAGTTGGACCGCTATTTCACCAAACAACAGTGAGCCACGGCGGAAGATGTCGAAAGCCCCAAAGTAGAAAACCTAAACTACCCACTGTGCTCCAATGGAACGTACGCAGCCTCAGATCTCGCCTTCCTGACCTACGCCAGCACCTTCTGACAAACAAAATAGACATTCTGGCCCTTCAAGAGCCACGTATTCTTCTTGAAGACTGCAGACTTGGGCCATATGTGATATACCTAAGTGCATCAAAACGAAACGACGGCAAGTCTCGGGCGGCACTATTTGTCCGGGCAAGGATTCATCAAGAACCCCTAGACCTATCCTCAATCGCAAAAGAGCAGCGGAATACGTCGGTGTGACAGTTCGCTCTAGAGGAGAACTCTTCTCTATCATTAGTGTCTACGTTCCTCCAAATGTCTGCTGGGATCCCGAAGAGCTACGAGAGATAAAAAATGTCTCTACGGGGCACCTTGTTATCTGTGGAGATTTTAATGCCCATAACGAGCAATGGGGAGACAGTCAGACTACTCGACGAGGAATTCAGCTGGAGATTGTAACATCGTCCTTACAGCTTCAAGCGCTGAATGACGGAACTGAAACCTTTGTAAGACCGGGAGTTAAACAGAGTGTCTTGGATCTCACTTTTGTATCACCGAATATAACAGCAGAGTGGAATGCTCAACCCGACACATGGGGAAGCGACCATGTTCCCATAATAATCACTTCACCAAGACCTCCGACGCCAATGTACAAAGAGGTACGCGTCACCAATTGGGATGCATTTAGGGCTCACATGGAAGGACATGTGGTTAACCTTGCGGGAGACCCATCCTCTGCAATCGCTCACGCTGTATCCCTGGCTACGAAAACGATCCGAGTTCCTATCACCCGTCCTAGTCCCGACCTCACGTACCTCAAACTGCGGGCGGCCCGGAGGAGAGCCCAGAGGCGAGCTCGCAGAACGAACGATCCCGCAGATTGGATAAGGCACCGACAACTTGATGCGGCTTTCCGCCGGCACACATCCCGGCTCCAACGGCACCAATGGGACCAACTTTGCTCTTCTTTTGGATCAGCGTCAGGTATCTCACGTGCATGGAAGATGGCCCAGACACTATCATCGAGAAAAATGCCAACTCATCCAATCGCAGGTCTCGCAATTGCTATTGGCCATACAATGCAGGAGACGGCTGAGATACTTGCTGACGCCTTCGCGACACCCATTCCACTACCACCAGGTTACCAGAGTGGTAAGGAATCCAGTGCGAATAGTAGAAGCTGGCCTCCCTTTGCTCTTGATTCAGACTTCACGATCTCAGAGCTTGAATTCGCATTGCGTCGGTGTCGACGGAAAAGTGCTCCAGGACCTGATGGGGTAACTTATCAGGCACTTCGAAATCTTGACCGATCACAGTACTCGGCCATACTAGAGGCATTTAATGCTATATGGCGCACAGCTGAGATTCCTGAGGCCTGGTTAACATCTACTGTTGTGCCTATACGCAAACCAGGAAAACCAGCACAATCACTTGACTCGTACCGTCCCATCTCGCTTACAAGCTGCGTAGGAAAGCTCATGGAGCGACTTGTGTTACGTAGGCTAACCTGGTATATGGAGACTATAGGTGCGCTGCCTGATGAACTTTGTGGATTTCGCGCTAAACGCTGCACTGCCGATGCAATTGGCGACCTAGCGTCCACTTTAGAGGAGGCGCGAGCATCTCACCAGACAGTGTATTGTGTGTTCCTAGATATACACAAGGCATTTGACGCTTTACCACATGCAACAATTCGCCAACGGCTACGACATTTCGGCATTACAGGAAGATTGTACAGCTACGTGTGCGCCTTTCTTACAGGAAGATCCTTTTTCGTACAAGTTCCTGCCGTCGTTCGGTGACACAAGGTGTTCCTCAGGGCAGTGTTTTAAGTCCTTTCCTCTTTAACCTTGCTATGGCCGCCCTTCCGTTTTCTCTGAAAACATTGCCCAAGTCTCCTGCAGCTCTGCACATCGCGATATACGCTGACGATGCAGCACTCTGGTGCGTCGGTCCCTCAAGGACTTCAAAAAGTATAGGCTCACAGCTGCAGAGAGCACTTGACGAGGTTGTGAAGACCACAGAAGACCTCGGGCTCACTCTTTCTGTCACAAAAACCGCGTTTCTTTGCTACCGTCCCAACGGTACACCCAGCCGACCCGTAGCTAATGCTCCGAAGATAGGTAACATCCCTCTTCAGCATGTTACGACTCAACGATACCTGGGCGTCCTGATCGACAACCACGTGACCTGGCGCCCTGAAGCAAAGCGACTACTCATCCAGTGTCGTCAGCTGATGGGCGTTCTTCGCTGCTTCCGACGAAGGAACTCGGGCCTCTCTCCACAGGGACTTCTAGCTCTGTACCGTGGACTCATCCTCTCAAGAATACTTTACGCTGTACCACTACTTAACCTTGGCAGACACCAGATACAGCAGTTGGAGCAATTTCATCGATGCGCGCTGCGACTGTGCCTTGGGCTTCCACGATTCTCTGAAAATGTAGCGACGCTAGTTGAGGCAAGAGAAAACCCGATCTCGCTTCACAAAAGAAAACGAGCAATGCGCCATCTAGTGCGACTCCAAGACGCCTCATCGACGACATCTCTTCTATCCAAACTCCGCTCACGGCCGCTATCCTGCCTTGGAGCTGTCACAATAGAATTCGAGGACCAGATCGGACCACCCAAAAGGCGATTCCCACCGACACCACCCCACACAACCTTACCACCGTTGAATGTGACCGGTACTCTACCGTTCTTCCAACGAAAGTCATCTGTCGCTCCCATCGTAGCTCGTTCCCTCGCTATGGATCTCCTAGATAGATGGTATAAAGGCTGGCTACATGTCTTCACTGATGGGTCGACTAAGCCCGAAACAGCAACATCTACAGCGGGATTTCTGATCCCGTCCATGGCGGTGCACCAAGCTGGTAGGCTTAATTTTCATACAACGTCAACAACTGCGGAACTAGTAGCTATCTGTAAGGCTCTTGAGGCGCTGCTTGTACTTGAGCCTCAAGCGGCAGTTATACTAACAGATTCCAGAAGCGCCCTTTGTCATCTTGAAAACCTGGAAGATGCTCCACCACTCGCACAGGAAGCCGCCCATGTAGCCCGCAAAGTTGAAGCCAAGGGATGGAGACTGGCATTCCAATGGATTCCATCTCATTGTGGCATTAAAGGCAACGAGCAGGTGGACTCTCTGACGGCTAAGGCTCATGGCCAGGAGACCCCAGAATACTTCATCCCCCGATTCAGTGAGGCCAAGCGTCTTGTCCACCTGATCACACGAATGGGCAGAGGCTCCGGAAGTCTTTCTTTAGAGGGGGGGCTCAACATCTCCGAAATCCTCAAGGCTAGGTTGGTTTCAGGTTGACATTAATTGCCACATTTAAATGAAAACATATTAATGCACCGCCTTCGCATATTCACGCACATATCCATGGAAAACAAATTAAAACAATGGTTCAGTAAAATAACTGTAAGAAGCTTGCACTGACAACTCATACAATGATTGGATAACCACTGAAATCAGCCGCACCATGTGTTCTTTATTTTTTTTTTCCTATACCAACTGTTACATGTCAACCGCAGCTGTGCCTATGCCAAATTGGCTATCTTTAAAAATGAAAACCTTCCTTCATTTAGAGATTCTCGGGGAAGCATGATGTATTAACGCAGACGTAGACAAACAAGTGTTAAAAGTTTTAGACAAAACCCCGAGACTCGGGGGAAAAAAAGACAACACAACACGGAGTCTCAAACACAGCAAGTTTGGCCATCGGATGTCTCAACTGGAGGCAGAGGTTTGCATACATCGGTATGTACCTCAGGATCAAGTACATCGACCGTGATCGCTTCGGACTCCTGGCGTCAATGCAAGTTGGGGGGCATCACAAAAGGAAGATACTGAAGGATAAGAGCTGTGTTTCAGACTTCGTGTTGTGTTGTCCTGAGTTTGTAAACATGTGTCGCCTCATGCCTCACCACCCCGTGGGCACGACGCCGCATGCGCGCAAAGCTTTCGCCATCGAAGGCGCCTTGTCAAATTTGGGAGCTCGTAGACTTTCGCCTTTTCTAAGCACTCCCGAATCCCCACTCAAGCTCACCAGCCCCCCTCCCTCTCCTAATGATGGCCTTTAAGCGCCGCGGTAGTACCGCCTGCCTGTTTTGTCCGCGGGCCAGAAGCACCATGCATCTTCTGGGCTTCTTGCTTCCACACGGGGGAAGCAGACAAACGCTCGCCGACGTCGTCTTGTCGGAATCCATTCATTTCGCTGTCCCCTCTTTGCTCGCTTTAAACCGGTTGTCAATCAGGCTCATGAGTCCTGCCTGTCATTTTCTTCTGGTTTTGACTTTTCAAGCAAGCCTCTCCGTCGCCCCGGTGCTTTTTGTGCTTGGCGGAGGTGCGGTCAGCATGCATAGAAGGGTCATTTCATTTATTTCGGCTCAGGAGAGACGGAGGTACAGCAGATAGGCCGAAGGCCCATACCAGATAACCTGCAAACACACAAACTAAAAAGAAGGAGGGGGAGGGGGGGCTCGGCAGCTCGGTCCTGAGGACAGGAGGGGCTCAAGCCCACCCTGCCCCCCCGCTTCCGGAGCCCCTGCGAATGGGGCATCCTCATGACGGTGTCGCCTCTGGCAATGCTCCTCCTCCCCTACCGGAGTCGAAACTCAGCCGAAAGGAGTCTAGCCTTCTGCATCGCCTGAGAGCGGGCTGCCCGTTTACGGCAAAAACGTTGCACAAGATTTCACGCAAAAATAGTCCGAATTGCGACAGCTGCGGGACCCTGGAGGACACCGAACACGTGTTGTGGTCGTGTCCAAAATACGGCAGCGCTCGAACTGTGCTTCACACTGCCCTGCAAACATCCCGCACGCCGGTGACAACGCCCCGCCAACTGATGTTCCCGAACGGGGGCAAGCGCCTTGCAGAACACACTTTTCGAGCACTTCTAGAGTTCCTGGAAGCAAGTGGCCTCGCAACTCGGCTGTGACGCCATTGCTTTCCGCCACAGAGCTGTGACGCCATTGCTTTCCGCCACGGTTTAGTACTTTTTGCTGCAGATACTTTAAGAGTACCCTAATTTCTCTTCCAATGTGAGCATGTGTAGTTTACAACGCGGATGAAACTATACGCCACCCGACTTTTATGCCGCTTGGTGCGACACTTCGTGTCTCCAAACCTTTTATCCGGTGTATCCTAACTCACTCCGCACATTCTAAGGTTTTTTTTGTTTTTTTTTTCGTTTTTTTTTCCCCCCTTTTAACGCGGTTTTAGGCATGCCCCCTCCCTCCAATTCTGCAACTAACTATTTGAATATCTTAATATGCCGCCACTATCAAAATCAACCTTCCCCTTCTCCTCCCTCTTCTTTCACTCCTCTCTCCCCAGCCCGTGCGAGTCTTTCCTCCGTTATGGGTGGATAATATTTACGCACGGGCTTTTCCCATTTTCACGACTTTCATTACAACAACAACAACAACAACAACCTCGATACGCCACCCCGTGTGCTGTTCATAGTGTATCCCATCTCTTTCAAATCGAGGTGATGGCCCTCTTTGGTACACTCCCTTGGTCACCTTCAGCACATCATAGCCCAGCTTCTCTCCCTGTTGCCTTATGGTTCGGTTGGCCGCTACAACATTTTACTCGGTTGCCACCGACTGTTCCTCCACCTCCGGGATCATGCACATTAAAATGTGCACCCCCTTAGAGACAGCCCTAAGCTTCCCCACCCCAGCCTCTATCTGCCTCCCCAAGTTGTGGCCTCTCCCGTTGAGGACGTCGTTCAGTCCAGCTTGAACGATCACCAAATTTTTCCCCTGCTCATTTGCGCTCTCCATCACGTCGCTCATGCACTTTCCAGGGTGGTTAACACCTTCACTCTATCGTCTCCACTCACCCTACTCCATAGCCCTGTGGCACACCTGGAGACATTAAAGGGATACTACAACAAAATTTCGGCGCTTATTTTTTGGTCTATATGTGTTTAAAGGAGCAGTATCACATCGAACACACCAATATCTTGTTAAAAAGTCACGAAAGGTAATTTTAAAACGAATTAAACGATTATCAAAGAGCACCTGGTGGATGTCGCTAACGTCTCGTTTGTAATGGCCGTCTAGGAACCTTGGCAGCTAGTGACGGTTACTGCCTCGCCCCCGGCCACGACGAGAGAAGAGGGGAAGGAGGAACTCCCCTCTTCCCGAGAATCCCTTTTGTGTGACTCAGAAGTCGCTATTGTCCATCTAAAAGATTATAGAAGATTAATCCGTCACTCAAAATTCGTACAAAAGCAGCCGTTTCGGTGGCTGTAACGACTAGGCCATCCTCTCAACGTCAGCCTCGCCGTAGCTTTGCTTGTCCCGAGACGAACTACGTAACAATTGCGTTGGATGTCACGTGGTCTCCGCTGGCTGTTCTCCGAGCGCTTGCCAGCGTGGGCCGTTTATAACAAAAAATACAGCCACCAGGCTCAAAATACAAACGTGCGATTGTCATTTACGGATATTGTGGATCATATTCAACCTACAGGGTGAAACAAGGAAACGCCAGGCTCTTTAAATCGACCGGAAAATTCGGTTTCTTAACCTACCGCGCTACGACTTTGTGCAGCGTTGCCCACAGATGGTGCACTTTTTTTTGTAAAATTTGCGAAGAGCGAACTTACCTGAGGAAAAAGTAAAGAAAGAAAAAGGCTTAGCTCCTATAGAAACGCAGCGACACCACCGTTCTGCAAACAACACGGCGCTGTTTCGCACGGGAGACAAGAGATGGCGCAACAAACGTTGCTAACGAACGAGCATACGGCGCCGAGAACAGGCCTTTTTAGCAGACGATCTTTTCGAGTTAAAAGCGGCGCGCGTTCCGCAGGCGGCGACAGTCACAGAAACAAAAGACAGGCGCGGTAGCAGCAAGGAACTGCAGTTCCTTGTCTGCAAAAGGGCCGGCTCTCGGCGTCGTCTGCTCGTTCGTTGGCGGCAGTTGGCGTCGCGACCGCTTGCGCCATCTCTTGTCTCCCGTGCGAAACGGCGCCGTGTTGTTTGCAGACCGTTGGCGTCGCTGCGTTTCCATAGGAGCTAAGCCTTTTTCTTTCTTTACTTTTTCCTCAGGTAAATTCGCTCTTTCCAAATTTTACAAAAAAAAAAAAAAAAAAATGCACCATCTGTGGGCAACGCTGCACAAAGTCGTAGCGCGATAGGTTAAGAAACCGAATTTTCCGGTCGATTTAAAGAGCCTGCCGTCTCCTTGTTTCACCCTGTATTTTACAACACGGCGGGTATATTGCAAATTTCGTTGAAGTATTCCTATAAAGCTCCCAATAACTAGTACTCTCCTTGCCTTTCCATGCTGCTGCTCCCCTACTGCCGGCTCTACCCGCTCCTGATTTCCCACACCTTTGGGTGCGGAAGCAGCAACTTGCACAAGCACCCCCAATCTTGGTGCGGGAACGAAGGACTCTGTGCCCTTGTTCTCTTCTACTGCGGGGTTCATCCCAGTTTTCCCCTGTACCGTATACCCTCCACTTTCCTTTTCAGTTCCTTATATTCGGTCTGTGTCACCTCTCCTTGTTCTGCTTCTCTTTTCCATCTCCCCTCCAGTTCCTCTAGCCTCGCCCTCAGGGCTACAAGCTCTCTAAGCTGCACTTCAAGCTTCACACGTTCCTCCCGCTCTATTTCCAGTTCCTTCTGCATCTCTTCTAGCCTCACTTTGGCTACCCTCCCTCCCTCCCCGGTTTCCTCTGCCTCCCTTTTCTCCGCTGCTTTCCTCATGGCCTCCGCCAAGGCCTCCGCCAGCCTCCGCCATCTCCTCTAGCCGCGCTTTTAGAGTTACGGTCTTTCTCGCTTTTCGTTCTAGCTTCAATTAATTGCATTATAATTATAGCTTCTCTCTCTCTTCCCGTTCGGCCTTGAGCTCTTGCCTCATCTCGTGCAGCGCCTCATTCGTCTCCTCGATTTTCACGCAGATCCTGCATAGGTATTCCATATCCGTAGCCTCCTCGATCGAGCTGAAAAGGGTCTCCTCGAGGAAACACCGTCTACCGCAGCCGCCACACTCGACGTTCGGCACATCCGGATCACCATTCCCACTTCCCTTCTTTCTTTCCTCGTTCGTCATGCCTCTGCGTCTCCCACGTCCGCGGGAACTTTCCCTGCTACGTGACCACACGCGTAGACAAAATGAGGCTCTCCAGCGACGTGTCCCGCCGAAAATTCAAACGGCACCGTCCTAGCACCACGTGGCCCCGCTAAGCCAACTTCCTTGTTGCTACCGCTACATCTAGATAAATTACCTCAACTAAGCAATATCCGATAACAAACTGCAGAAAACGAAAATCAAAGGCTACTTTTAGTTACGCAGCAGATCCGTCGCGATGTCGCATCCACGCAGCGCAGCATCCACGCAAGGGTGCTTCCGCGGTTTCCACGGTTTCGAACTCTATGCAGAAAATGGCGGAACTAGCATTTTTCTTCGGGGTCTTAGTTTTGATTGGTAGCTGGTGCCCGGAGCGCGTCTCTGACTGGTGTGTTTAGCGTCCTATCCCGCCCATACATCAAAAGTGGTCCCGAAGTGGCAACAAATGACGTCACAGAAACCGGAGTGTCATGCTGTCGGATGTCGCCATCCTGGCAGTCGGTCTTAGAAATGCTGGCGAAAAGCGCGAGCGAACGCCAGTGTCGCTGTCGTCATGACGTTCCAAGCTCTGGCTGCTGAAGCTTCCGTGGACTGTCACACCAGAGAGCGACCTGCTGCAAAAGAGGCGTCTGCTGCACCCATCACCACTCGGGGTAAAACTTCTTTGCAAATAAAGATTATTATTATTATATTATAACCACTCCTGGAACACTATGTGGAACACCGCCAGGATCACGACCGGCGACAGCATGACACTTCTATGACGTCACCAGGCGGAAGTCAAAGGACCATTTTTTTTTTACGCGGTAAACACTCAAGTCGGAGACGCGTTCCTGGCACCAAGGTAGCGACTACAGTAGGCTCGTTCAGTTTACCTTCACCTTCTTCACCGGTGCAGAAAAGTGTAGGGCAGTGTACTTTCGGTATACGACCGGAAGTACACTGCCCTACACTTTTCTGCACCGGAGCAGGAAGTGAAGGTAGGGTGTGCAGGTAAATCGAACGAGCCTAGTGTTCTAGGTGGGGTGTAGTGGCAAATGCGGCGCGCTCTCCGTGAGGCCTTCGAGGTAGATGCCGCTGCGTGGCGCTGGCATTGTTTCCCCGAGCAGGAGAGCTAGCAAGATGGGGCGTCGGCTGCTTGCTCGTGGTCCTATCTTATGATGTTTTTATGACAGCACACTACTTTATCAGCTCTGCGATCGTCAGACTGAACGAAATATTGTTTAGATGCTTGGAAGCAGCGGTGTAGACTTTCCATTTTCCCGGGGGGGGGGGGGGGGGGGGGGGGAGGGGGGGTGCTGCTCGTTACTTTTTCGCCAGAGCTGGAGATTGAAGCTAACGAAAGCACGCTGGGATTCCATTTCCCCTGTATTTCGTCAATAAAGGCAATGTGAGCGTTATTTTGTTTCAGTGTTGGACAAAATACTCGATAAAAGTATTTAAGTTGAGTTACTAAATACCTGCTCCATAAAGTATTTAAAATTCTACTCAAGTTACTTTCACTGTAAAGTATCTTGAGATGAGCACAAATACTTAGAAATGTAATTCAATTACTTTTGGAGATACTTCCGC